CTACAAAGTATGTGCGATGTAGAAAGCGGTGGTCCACCTCTCGCAGCTAGCGCAGTTGGACCTGCAGCCTCAGCCAGCAGTGGAGCCGTGGAGCCGTGGCAAGTGCAAGGCAAGGGTCCCGCACCTGCCCCTTCATCTCTCTTCCTCGCCGGGCTGTCGTCCCAAAACACGCGCTCTGTGGTTTCGTCTTTCCTAAACGGGCATTGGTTAGTGTAGGGGCGTTCTTTCCATCGTCTCTCATCGCCAACTCGTTTGTACATACGTCCTAGTAGGTTCTCGGCTTTGATCGCGCCTGCCTCTGCCTCTGCTTCTTTGTCTTGCCCCAATATATTGATTGCTAAGTAGACATAATGGAAGCGACGAACTGCAGCCCCGATGGCTCTTTCCGTATGATATGCCCAATGCCCCTTCCGTTCGCCACGGTAGCTCTTTCTGCAGTGGCTTGGACGCAGTTCAACACTCGGGATGCTGTTTGGCGTGCTGACGGAGACCAATGCAGATTCCCAATCCGCCGTCTGTGGCTTCCGCAACCGCCGCCTCGCCACACCCACGCCACGCCTGCTCTTTCCAGACGCGTGACAAAATGGCACTCTCTCGAACAGGCAAGAGCAGATCACAAAACCAGCACGAGCACTAACCACACTAACCAGATAAAACGACATCTCCACACGAACATGCTACGCTGGCTTGCTCCTTCCTGCACTCATGCCCGGCCTTCCTCTGTTTCCTTCCTCGGGAAGTAACCACGACCCGTGCAGTGCCCTGCCATTTTTCCATTTCGTGCTTCGTGATGCTTGCGTAGACTACTCTGTAAACCCGTCTTTAGCTTTGCCCAACCTGTCAGGGACGTACACATCCTGGGGCCTCGCACGCCTCTCACGCCATGCCGGACGCCATACTCAGGCGCCTTGAGAGGTATTTCCCGGCATCGCATTACGTCTTTGTAGCTTGTACTCGCCGTCACGACCATCACCCCGCTTGAGCCAAGCCCGAGCCTGGGATCCCCTGCGAAAATCACGGTGCATATTGGATCCCATGCTCTTTGTGGATCTTACGAGCACGGAAGGCAAAGCAAGAACTTGGCCAAATGTGCTGCAGGCACGAGACGAGACATGGCGGGCAGCAACACGGGGCCTTGCGGCGCCCGCCCAGTACACGTACAGATGCCAAACCCCCACCCCCCAAGCGACGCACAAAGCCGTGACGAGAACGCCGGGACGTGCAGTTTCTCTGCGGAGCGTGAGACGCAGTCTTCCGAATGTGAAGTCGTTGTGTACGATCCAATGCTGGTCCTGGCCGACACGATAGGCGTCGTGGCCCATTTTGCTGTGGTGCTCATCCACATAGCAGAACACTTGCGTCATCTCTTTTTATTCTTTGTCTTTTTTGTATCCGTTTTTGTTGTTGTCGTCTTCTTCTCAGGCACTGGCCGTGTCTTTTCCCCTGTTGTCGTCTGTCCTGTTGTTTCTGCTTCCCTTTCCGCATCCGCGTACTTACACGCCCCCCTCCTGTCCTGCTCACCCCCTCCCGCCTCGGACCCCGTCCATCACTTCTCCTGTCCCTTGCCAGGTACGTCGTTTAAGCTGAGGGACCTGCTCTCGCATCCATGTCAGCCGCTGTCCTTCCGATCTCAAGTCTCCAAACTCGACGCAACCGACACATCCAGCTCAAGTGCCTCCGCTAGGCCGCCTGGGCCTAGGGCTGCCGAGCACACATTTTTGTTTTCTCTCCCCATGGACCCCAAAACATAAAACAGATAATAAACTGGCCAGGCCCGCCCACACCCCCTTGTTTTCCATCCCCTTGTCCCTCATCGTCCCCACAACACCAGCTCGAAACCAGCCTTGTGTCTCCCGGTCGCGTGGGAAAACTTTGGCGTGGCTGCCAGCTGCGGCGATCGTTCAAAATAGGGAGCGGGCCACAGAAAAGAAACAGACCAAAGAACCATGCAAAGAAACCCAAAACGGGATTAACAAGAAAACAAGAGGGGCAGGTGACGAGCCAGGGCTTTTAATAGATGGTGAGAAAAAAGGGAAAAAATAAAATAAAATAAAATACCAACTGCAAATAACCAGAAACTAAATACAGAATAGAAAACCAACGACAAAATCAAGGACGACGCCATACAATGGCCGAAAGAGGTAGTGGCCTGCTCCGTATGTCGTACACGAACACGAGATCCCTCTCCATTCTTCGGCCCCTGGTCCGTGTATGTAGTCTTCCTTGCAGCTGCAACCTTTTGCCTCGTCCTGTCGGGAACAGTTGACTCAAGTTTCTCTCATACATTTCTTCCTTTGCGTACCTTGCCTGCCTGTCGCGCTCATTTTCTCTCTCTCTCTCTCTCTCTCTCTCTCTCTCTCTCTCTCTCTCTCTCCTCACGCCCATCAAGAAATCAGCACAACCCAACCTACCGGCGGCAGCCTTGTATTGCTGTGCAGTCAAACGTCTTTTGTCCGTGCCCCCTCCCTCTTTGCTCTCGTGCGTTCCTTTCTGTTATTGCTTTCTCTTCACTCTTTAATTTCTTTTTCTCGTTCTTGCCTCTCCATAGTCCCTCGTCGATTCACACGCCCCTCCACCCGAATCACTCCCCCCCCCCAACAGCCCTGCTCAAACGACAGGTCAACAGTAGATACAGTAGATCGCCAACTCTGCTCCGTGCCTCTCTGGCATCAACGGTCGAACCTGCACGTTTCTTGGTCCCGGCCGCCAGGTCATGGACTAGGTCGAAAGGCAAGCATCGGCCGAGCCGGATAAGCCAACCCAGCTGGATCGGATCGCCACGCAGCACACCGGCCCTGGTCCCCTGCCGTTCATGAGCTTGCAGGAGATACGGTGGTACCTGGCCATCACCAGCGCTGTTTTGGCCTGGATCTCCATTGGCCTCTGTTTTCTTCTGCCTTTTGCCCACTGTCTCTCCTCCGTTCTTGTGGCCTTCTTTCTTTTGGTTGTCTTCGGCACACCCCCTCTTCTCGTCGACAAGAACTGATTGCTTGTTGTGGTTTGCTGGCACGTGTTGTGCCTTCTCAGCACAAGAAACGTTAATTTTTCCCGCGACGAGTTGCAAACAAGCTTCAGATTGGAAGGAGTAGCCGCCACTCCAGTTATCCTTGACGCACCAATCGCCCAACTAGGCAAGGAAAGGTAAAAGCAGGCCGTGGCACGCTCTTTCCTCGTTTTCCTGACTTGCATGCTTCCCGCACACGCACTTGCCTCTCTCCCACTCGCACCTCCCATACACAACCTGCACCACCACTCCATACTCCCTTCGCTCCTTCTACTTTGGCCGGTGGCCACAAGGACAGGGTAGTAGCAGAAGGGCAAAAAACGTTGACGCACCAAGATCCAAGGGGAAAGAAGCTGCCTGAGACAACAGAAAAGCCCCAAAAAAGGAAAAAGAATAAAAAAGGAAACAGCGAAAAGCAGAAAAGGAGAAAAGGAAAGAACAATCAAGAGGAGGTATAAGCCTGGAAGCCTCGCAACAAAAAAGGGAAGGAGGGCCAGAACGAAAAAAATCCACCATCTCTCCCTCTCGCTTTCGTTCTTCTCTTTTCCTCTTTTCCTCTTTTCCTCTTCTCGTCCGTTTCTTCGACTTTCTGCGTCTTCGTTTTTCTCCCACACCCACGTTGCCTTTTCCTCATTCTTGTCTCCGTGTTGACACGTTCGTTTACCTTCCTCCACTCGCCCACTCGTCTGACTGCCAAATTCAGCTAACGCCCGCCCGACAATTTCAGTCGTTTCACCATTGGCAACAACACCTTGCCGTTCTCACTCGCCCACGCTCGCTTTCTTCGTCTTTTCTCGTCTCTCCTTTATGCTTTTTGGTCTTGGTCTCACTATTCCCGTCCATTTTGGTCTTGTTAGCCACTGTCACCGCCGCCACCACCACCACCATCATCACCATCACGACCACCCACAACAAGACACAGAACGACAAACCGTCGCCTTGGATCGCGTCTAGGACAGTTCACCCTTTATGCTGTCTCTCTCGATGTCCACATGAGCTTTCCGCCTGGAAACAGCGTCTTCTCTCCTCCGTATTTCGTCCAACATCTCCCGACAGTATCGAGTCGGTCCGTCCTGAGTTGGCCGCCACCTCCACCTCCAGCTTGTTTATTGCAAGGTAATAAGATCCCCCTTCCCGCTGGAGCACTTGCCTTGTATTTTCTCTCTTTCTTGCCGTTTCTCCTTACTTTTTCCTTTTCATATGCCACTTGGGGACCCAGCCTAGCTCGTGCTTCTTTTTGTTCCTCTGACTCTCTTCCTCTTGTAGTGCTGCTCCCTGTCTTGCGTTGTGCTCTCTCGTTTTTCTGAACCTTTTCTTGCCCGCTTGGGCTACAACTCACTCTTCCACCTTTTGTCGTCTTCTTCTCCTGGACCTGCCACTGGCTGTTGTGCGGCCCCTTGCACTCGCCTCTCTTTTTTCCAGAGAACCTTTTATCGCCGTTAAGCCAACCATTTTGCGCCTGGAGTACTTATTCCAGCGTCTTGTCGTCTTGATTCGTCGATCGCATCTGCACTCTTTCCAGACCGCCTCCACCACGCCGTTAGCTCATGTATCCTTTTCGTCCTGTCTTCCCTGACTCCCCTCCCTCTTGTTTTCGTTGCCTGTCCACCACATCGATGTCTGTTGATTGTTTCTTCTTCCCCTCCAACTCACCTGCTGTTCGCCCACTCGGATGCTTTTTCGTAATTTTGTCGGCGTCAAACACTCAGTCTCACTCTTGCCACCCCTTCATGATTGCATCCTATCCGCATCCCACTGTCTCGTTGCCGTCTTCAACACAAGGATGCTTACAATAAAACAGCCTTCGCACAACGGCTACCGGCCTGTCAATGATCTTCCAACTCCGCCAAACACCTCCCAGCCCTCACCGCCCCTTTTTTCCTGGGACGGGGACAAGCAAAATAGCACCTTTGCCATCTCATCGCGTCATCGGAGTCCGACAACGTCCAGCCAGCCAATGTCAGCGCCTCAGCGTGGCTTGCCTCCAACGGCAGCCATGACGCTGGCTCAACAGGCACCACCACCGGGTCCGCCACAAGCATCTCCACAACCACATCATCAACCACACCCACAACAGCAGCAGCAACAGCAGCAGCAACAGCAACAGCAACAACCACCACCACTTCATCCTCAGTCAGTCGCCACGCCGCAGCTCCCGCCACCACCGCCATGGCAACAACACGGTGGAGACGACACGATGCGTGCATGGCTACTGGCCAAAGCAGAGGAAGAAAAACGCCGCGCCGAAGAAGAACGAACGCATCAGGAAACACTCCGTCTCGAACAACGACGAACGGAACATGACATTCTCCGGACTTCGCTTTCCGGCGGCATTCCACCACCGATGGTGCCGGTTGTCTTTGCGGGCATGGCCGGAGGCAACCTGCCGCAGGCTGCTCTTGAATGGGCTCACCAGATCATGTTTCCGCATGGTCCGCCTCCTTTGCCACCACCACCCCCGCCGCCACCGCCGCATCATATGCAACAACAACAGCAACAACATTCACAACAGCAGCAGCAGCAGCAGCAGCAGCAGCAGCAGCAAGAGCAGCAACAACAACCGCCGCATCCACAGCTCCTATTGACCGGTCCAGGTGCAGGAGGTCACCATCCGCTGGATCCCCAGCGTCCAGAGTCTCTGTCGCAACAGCAACAGCTTCCATCGCAACAGTCACAACCGCCACCGCCTCCACCGCCGCCACAACAGCAGCAGCCACAGCATCACCCACCGCCGTTTGGACAGGGACCGTATGGGCCTGGGGCCAGGGATGGAGGTGGGCCTGGTAGTAGCGGAGGAGTCCAAGGGCCTGGCTCATCTCAAGGAGGGGCTTTCGTACCGCCAAATCCACCATCACCAACTCGCCAGCGCGGATTTACCCTACCAACATCCAGTGGACGGCCCGAACGAGGGGTACCAGCAGCCGCAGCCAGCGGCGTATCTTCAAACCTGCCCACGTTGAACACGAATGTGTCACACGGGACCTTTGGACAGCAACAGATTGATCTGCAAGCCTCGCCGCCGATTCTTTTCTACCACTGGCAACCTCCCGGCGTTGGCGGAGGAGGTGGTAGTGGCGGTGGAGGAGGAAGTGGCGGAGGATCCGGGGGTGGCGGAGGAGGAAGCGGAGGCGGCACGAGCCAGCCTGCGGCATCAGGTATGTTCCTCCCATGGACTTTGCCGACGTTTCAAATTTGGCTCATGATATTGTTTGTATTAATTCTTTTGAAGTCAGCGAGTCGCCCAAGAAGCGAAAAGCTACCGGGCCACAGCCGGCTCCGCCGCCGCCAAGCTCACATCAGCGTTTTCGGTCACCACCATTCTCGCAAAGTTCCGGCTCGTTAGCAAACCCGCCACCCGGTCGACGACGAGGACACGCACGACAACGCAGTGACATGTCGTCCTACCGAGGAGCAGGCCGTGGCGGGTACGGAAGCGGCGGAGGCGGCGGGGGCGGCGGTCACCCTCGAGGCATGTCGCCATCGCCATATTCTTCAGCGCCGCCCTCTGCGACCGGTTCCTTGCGAGACGGGGAGGAAGGAGGCGGACCGAATCGATCACAGCAACAGCAGCAACCGTCGCAGCCTCGAAGCGGAGGACATACCGTGTCGTCCTTGTTGTCAGAAGACGTGCCGTCATCGAGCGGACCGTACAGCCAAGACCATCGCGATGCGCCAGATCGAAGCGCGCGCGGAGGCAGCGAGCGCCGCCGTTCACCCCACCGCCAAAGCGACGACAAACGGCGAGGCAGTGCGACGGGTGGCCACGGAGAAAGTGGTGATTGATCAAGAACGACGGCCACGGTTGGCCATCTTGTCCCAAAGCGCGATGCGTTAGAGGGCTAGAGTCGGTCTTTTATTGTTCTCTGGATTCGAGACACAACAGCGGATGGACGACCTGCTTCGCGGTACAGTCGGTGTGTCTTCGAGAGCCACTTGGTAGCACCACGCCCCATGCCTTCAAATACACCGCGTTTTATGCGACATGGACGAGAAACAAACGTCGGCTTCTGAAACTCTGCATGGTTGTCTCTCAATGGCCTGAGCAAGTCGTTTTTAGCATCTTTTTACTCTTTTACTTTCCCACCATGGGACGCCACGCCATTTTATTCCTCTACCTCCTCCATTACTTTGGTACGCTTTAATGGCCAAACACGCGACCAGCGGTCGGCCTATATCGCGATCGACAAAAAAAGGGGGGCCCGCCATTCACGAACCACGGCGTAGGATTGCCCGAGAACGGCTATGCCGCTTTCACTCACTTTCAATCTTACGAAGAACAGCCTCGCCCAAAAACCGACATCCAATTTCTCTCTCAGGTCCGGAATGGTCGACAGCTTTATATTTGTCCTAGTTTGCAACCTCGCAACGGTGCTTATTTTCTTTCCCAGCTTTCCTACTTTGTCTGTACTATTTACACGATTGGAAATTTTGTCTTGTACGGAGTATATGTATTTGTATATCATCAACGAAGGGAGCCTGTGCCGTGCTTTGACGGAAACGATGCTCACTTGTTTCTTTTTGTTTGTTACACTTTATTTTGTACTTTTTCTTTATTACTGGATATCGCATTGGTGGTCTTGGGCATGGAGAGGAAGATCACTTGGGTGGGATATATGAAAACAAAAAGCAAATAGGCTCGGCCGCGGAATTCTGGAAATCACATCGGGGCTATTTATATTCTGCACATCTCTTTCTTATATATGTGAGGTTTTGATTGGCGTCGACTCATTTGAATTTCAGGTATCGGTTATCTCATTTTTTTGGCAATCGTCGCAAATACAGAGTTCGTTACGTCGATGCAGACACAAAAAAGAGTTGTGGTGTTTACAATAGCATCATTTTCTATTCATTGGTTTCCTCCGTCCACAAACCCGTCTCAATAGAAAATCAACAGAAACAACATGCGATACGTGGCCGGTTTCGAGCTGGAACTCTGCACCAAAAGAACACACACAAAATAGCAAATTGCCATCGTCCCCTCAACAAGTCTGCATCATATATTTCCCATATGTGCAAGTCCATATGCCCGATTGTCCTGTATCTCATCAGGGGTATATCTATCCCGGCGTTATGTAGCCCGCACACTCCTTTAGCGGACGAGAAAGTAAAATCAAACAAAACGTAGAAAGGCCACAGAATACGTCTCAACCCCCCCTAAAAAAATCCAACAAAAATACAAACGCTCGTGTATACCGCTGACCAGAAGTAGACACCAATTTGAACTCCAACGAGAGAGCAATGAGATGCAAAACAAGGAGATGGTTGCAAAGTGAGACAGGTTGAGAAAGGAAAGGGGCAGCCTTTCACCCATTGGGCCGTTTTAAGGCGCCGGCGGAGGCGGGGCAGTTCCGCTGCTGGTTCCATTGCTAGCAGCGGCAGAAGCATAGCGGCTGCCTTCATGGTAGCCGTTGTCGCCATTGTTCCCCTCTGCGCTGCCCCCTCCCTCCAAGGTCTCTGGGCTGTGCCGACCACCATGACGTTTGGAAAGAGTCTTCTTTTTCAAGACAGCGGGGGCAATCTTGGGCCGATCTTGGTTGGTCGGGAGGTTGGGAGAATCAGAGCGTGGAGGAGGAGGTGGTGGTTCCGTGTTGAGCGTGGCGGCATGGGCGGCATTGGCGACATTGGCGACATTGGCGACATTGGCGTCGCTATTGGCCCGCGCCTTGGTCAGCTTCTTCGGCTGCCGTCTCGTGCTGGACGTGTCCGGTACGTTCGAGGGGACGCTTGGCCCCGGCTGGGCATTTGCGTCGACCTGCATCGCGTGAAGGGTCGCCGGTCGCTGCTCCACGGTAGAACCGGAGGCAGCGCTGGCGGAGCGGCTGGGGACGGTGCCGCCGTAGCGAACGTTGTGTGGAGCTGGGGTCGATGTGTCCTTGGTCGGGTGCGGGTTGCTGCCGGGAGGCGTTGATATGTACGCATCCAGCTTGCTCTTCAGGACCTCGGACTTGACAGGCTTCGCAAGGTAGTCGTTCATGCCGGCGGCCAAGCACTTTTCACGGTCGCCCTGGATGGCTGACGCGGTCATGGCGATGACCAGGACTTCACGCACCTCCTTAATCGGGTCCCGACGCAGCAACTTGGTGGCCTCGTAGCCGTCCAGGACAGGCATTTGAACATCCATTAGTACGATGTGGTACGGCACACCCTCCTTGGCCTTTTCCCGCAGGGCGTCCACCGCCTTCTGGCCGTTGTCGTATGCATCGGCCGTCTCGTAACCAAGCCGCTGCACGTATTGGATCGCGATCTTGCGGTTGATGGGATTGTCTTCGGCGATGCACACACGCAGCTTGTCTTGGTCTATTTGGCTGAGGTCCATGTACGGATTGGTCGACACCACCCCTTCGTCCGGGGACGCCGTCGGGATGGACGTACGGAGCGAGAGCGGATGCGAGTGTTGGGACGATCTCTGAAATCCCGGGTTCGACAGGGCCGACTCCAGGTTGAACGAAGACGCAATGGGGCTAGAGGAGTTGTCGTCGCCGAGAGGAGACGAGGCTGGCACAGTCGCCGGGATGTCGCCAGCAGTGGCATTTCCGGTAGCCTTGTCAAAGGTCACCGTGAACCACGCCCGTGTGCCGACATTTTCGACACTCTCGAGGTAGATCTTGCCTTTCATGATCGTCTCGATGAGTGACTTGCAGATGCTGAGACCCAGGCCGCTGCCGCCGTACTTGCGCGCTGTGCTTGCATCGGCCTGGCTGAAAGGCTGGAAGAGCTTGGCGAGTTGCTCGGGCGGGATACCGATGCCGGTGTCTTCGACCCAGAAGGTCAACGTAACCGTACCCTCGGTTTCGGACTCGACCCGCGCGCCAACGGTAATTGTGCCGCGCTCCGTGAATTTGATGCTGTTGCCAATGAGGTTGCCGAGCACCTGGTGCAGTCGCACCGGATCGCCAAAACAAAAGAGATTCGGCGGAAGGTTGATTTGTTTGATGATTTTGACCACGCCTGCCTTTGTCTTGCCCTGGTTGCGGTACGAGGCCGCGCGGACGACTTCCGGCACGAGTTCCTTGGGGTTGAAGGCCGTGATGTACAGCTTCATTTTGTCGGCCTCCATCCGTGAGAAGTCGAGGATGTCGTTGATCACAATAAGGAGCAGGTCGGCAGACAGACGGATGGCTTCGGCCATCTCTTGCTGCTCGGGCGTCAACTTGCTGTCTCTCAGCAGCTCCGAGTTGCCAATGACGCCATTGAGCGGCGTGCGCAGCTCGTGCGACACGTTGGCAAGGAATATGGATTTGGCCTTGGTTGCCTCCTCGGCGAGCTTGACGTTGCGGTTCGCTTCGGCTTCGGCGGCCTCGGCGAGCAAGAGATTGCGCTTGGCTTCCTTCTCGGCGGCCTTGGCCTTGTTCTCGGCCTCAATGGCTTTGCGCAATGCCGTCTTTTGCATCGTCACCATGGACCGGTTTTCGGCGGACACCTTCTCGATCGCCTTGATGGCCAAGGCATTGGAGTAGCTGATGCCAATCTGGTTGACCAAGAGCTGCAGGACAATCACGTTCCTGTCCGTGACCGCGCCAGGCAGACCCTCCAAGTACAGCACGCCAAGGAGGGGATTCGAGGCGTGGCAGATCGGGATGGAAATGACCGACTTGCTGTGCGGGTTCCTTTGGATCCAGCTGTCGCTCACGTTGCCGAACCGCTCGTCACTAATCAAATCGGGCACGAACACAGATTCACGGAACCGCATGCTATAGAGAACCACGTTTTCGGCAACGATGCACGTGCCCTTGAGAGGCACGCCAGGCCGATGCGAGACGGCTCCCTTGTCTGGCTCACCGCTTGCGGCAACACACCAGTCCGAGGACGAGCCGTCTTCGTCCTGCACGACAATGGCGGCTTGCGTCGCCGAGCCGCCGCACGTCTGCAAAATCACATCACACATGGTCTTGAGCAGCTCGTCGACGCGGAGCTCCGACGAGATGACCTGAGACGACTGCAGGATGGCGTGCAAGTCAATCATGTCCAGGGCCGGGAGACCAGCGGCCCCCGCTGCCCCCGCCTCCGCTTCGGCCTGCATCACACCGCGCCAGACGCCAATGCGCTCGCCCCTCAGGTCGGCCATGCTCGTTTCGCCGCCGCCGGTCATGCTGTCGCCGGCGGCCTGGCCTTCGTCGTGTTCGATAGCATGGTATTGGACCGTGGTCGTATCGGCGGCAAAGTCGGTCTGAATGCCCGCATCTTGCGTGCGCAGGTTTCGCGTCGGCCCACGCAGGAGAAGGCTGTGCTCTTCTTCAATGCGATCGGCGACACCGACCGCGGCAAGCTGCCGGTACAGGCCAACTGCATCACGCAGGGCGGAGCGGGCCGAACGCCGGGCGCGTTTTCGAATAAAAATACCCGCCATCAGATAGTTGCCCAAAGCCTCCTCAAAGATGAAGTCGTGCTCGGCGGCATGGTCCAAGGCCTCCTCGTACTGATGGAGGGCATGCCCACAGTCGCCGGTCAGCTCAGAGACCTGCGCATCGAGAAGCGTGTACCATGTGAAGTAGTTGATGTCAGAGACGGCGGACCAGTCGCGAACAGACTGGCTGAGCTCCTTGATTTTGGAAACAGTCGTCTCGAGGACTCTGGCTCGCAAGTTGCCGCTTTCCGCGTCATCGGGTTGCGGGTAGTCTCGCTGGCGAAACTCCATGCCCGCCAGAGCCAAGCCGTAAAACAGCATGAGAAGGCGCGTGTTTCTCGACGACAGAATCAAATGCCGCCGCTCCATGCATCGCTCACCCAACTGAATGACACGATCGTAGTGGCCGTACAGATACAGGGGAACAATTTCCAGCGTCTCGTACAGCAGCAGCGACCGATCCACATTGGTTGAGCATGCATGCAGCCACTCTTTGTACTCTTCTGCACTGTGCCGGTCATCGTTCATGATCTCGAGTGGGTTCGAGACATGCGTCTTGCCCTGAAGGGCGCGACTGACTTGGCCGATGGCGATCAAGAGCGTGCCGCCCTGAGGATCCTCTTGCCAGTTCGGGACCTCCTCGGAGCAGTACTGGCAGAACGCCTCGAGATCGGAGCACCCCTCGCTGGAATAGAACCGCATCAAGGCGGTCAGACCAAATCCGAGGATGGCAGTGACACGGTCGCCGGCCGATGCACCATACTCCATGGATCCTTCCAGCTGGATGACGGCCACAGACAAGGGATACTGAATGTGGCCTACAAAGGTCGCATAGATCATGTAGCCGCGTGCCATGGTGAAGGGATCGCGGAACCGATCCAGAAGCTCGAGGCCCGTGGAGCCAAGGTCAGCGCCGAGCTGCATGTGATTGAATCGAGCGATGGCGACGACGGCCAAGTGGACAAAACCGATGCCCGACTGCGGATATGCGCCAGAGTCGAGATGCAAATTCACCATGACGATCGACAGATGGTAGAAATAGACATCGTCGCTCCACCAGCTTATGCTCGCTGCCTCGGCCAGAACGGCTCCGATGGAAGCCAAAACCGGGTCGTCCGAGTTTGGCGAGCTTTGCAGGTCGAGGCCGTCTGTGTCCTTGATGCGTGCCGTGAGCTTTTGGAAATCGCCGTCGCACTGCTCGTGGGTAGGCTTGTCCGTGACGGAGACGCCAAGTTCTTTGAGGCAGCCCTTGAGACGTTCGAGCGCTTCGGTTTGCTTCCCCGCCTGTGCATCAATGCGGGATTGGATAATCCAGGCCGGCGCCTTGTCGATTGCGACTTTTGCACATCTGTAGATGGTGTCGAGGATGCCGTTTGCCAATGATTGATGGCCGACGTACAGGTAGCACTCTGCGGCACGGAGGTACAGCTGGAGCGTCTCATTGTATGTGGCATCCATGCCATCATCCTCCCACGGTTCGTCTTGGAGAAGGGCGATGGCGTTGCTGTAATACTTGGCGGCGGCCGGGCGTGCTCCGTTCTCCGTGGCGATGCGACCACAATCAAAGAGCAACTTGCGATACGGCTCCCGATTCGTGACACGCTCCTTGATGAGCTCGACCGAGTCGCAAATGTGGGCAGCCGTCGTGTCCCACATCCGCAGGTCGTCGCTATAGTATTCAACAAGTGTTCGTGCAATGACATAGTGCATTTTGCGAGGGGTGCAGACGGCGAGCTCGGCCGATGCCACGACATATCGGTCGTGGGCAAAGCGAAAACCGTCGTCTGTTTCGCTCGAGGTGAGGATGTAGGATTGAATGGCCGTCTGCAAGCCCTGAACCGCGTCGTCCTGTGAGAAGGTCTCGTGGGTATGCTGGCCAAGAGGGCCCGGACAAGTATGGTCGGTAAAAAGAAATTCTCCGCTGAGGAGGTGGCAGATTAAGTCAAACGAGAAAGAGCTCCCAATAAGAGCGGCCCAGCCCAGGATAGTGCGCGACGCCGGCGGCAGCTCCATCAGACGGCTGGTGACGAAATCGGTGTTCAGAAGGTCATAATCACTGTCACCTTGGAACTGCTCAAATACGCGGTTCATATCAAATCGCCAGACGCTGTCGTGATAGTCGTAACTGATGCACTTTTTTCGGTAGCAGGCGCTCAGCATTTCTCTCATGAAAAACGGATTGCCAGCCGTTTTGGCCTGCAGCACGACCGCCAGGGCTATGACTTCGGCTTCTGGCCGGCTCAGCGTCAAGGACACGTATCGAATGATGTCCTCTTCGTTCAGAGGGCGGAGCTGGATTCTGGTAATGGTATGACCGCCTTTCTTTTGGACGTCATCCGGGTCCGGTGACTTGAGAATGCGCAGCACTTTCTCGGGAGAGATCTCTTCGGGGCGGTAGGTAATGATAATGACCATCCGCAAGCGAGCACCAATGATCTGGGTGATTAAGTCGAGAGATTCGTCGTCTGCAAAGTGCAGATCGTCGAGGCAAAAGCAGACAAACTTGTGGCTGGTAAACATGCGCAGAACATCAAGGACCGTGTTCATAAGGCGGATGGACTTGGTTGCCGCACCGGCGCGGAGAAAATCTTGGCTTGCTGGATTCGACGACCGTATACTACTCGGCGCCGAGCTGTTCTTCACGGGGCTGAAGTTTGACGATACCGAAGACCCAGGCGACGAGCCACGGCGGCGGAGGTCAGCCGCGCGCGGATGCCTCCCTTGGATGCTGGTCGACAAATGAGGACTGGACATCCGTGATGGGGGCTGTTGACTCCCATCGGGTGTATTGAACAAAAACTCGGGGAGACCGAGGAGCTGGTGCAACATGGGCCAGAGCGGCCGCACGTATTGCTTCAGCGACTGGTGGAAAGGCGTATCCGTGTTCCGCTCGCCCCACACCTGGCGGAAAAGCGACGACAACAGGCCAAGCAGTGGTCCGAACGCCGTCTTCCCGGCCTTGTCAAATTTGGCCGTCGCGCAATAGCCACGTCGTCTTGTGTCGTTAAGTACAGACTGAACCAGGCAGCTCTTGCCGAGTCCCGCTGCACCTTCGATTGTGACAATCTCACAGTGTCCGCGGCGGCGGAACTTGGCGGAACCCAGCTGGCGCGATAGGCTGCCCGAGTCAGCCGTCAGGGAGCCGCCAGTATGGCGTGCGGAGCCCTCCCGTTCAGCAAGGATGCTGTCCAAGGGGCCTTTGGCGTCAAAAGAGACGGACTGGTTGCGGTCCCAGGATCGTTGTGGCAGACGGGCAGCGGGTGGGTTCGAGTGATTGGAATTCACGGCGTCGACCGACACGGTGTACGAGTCTGCCGACTGGGCCGACTGGAAGGACGGGTGGAAACTACCTCGAAAGGCCCTCGGATCGGACGCCACCGTGTGGGTAAACGAACCGCTCCGTGCATTCGTACCATCCAGGGAGCTACCGCCGCCTTCGCTTGATCCATCGGCCACGTCAGGGTAATCGGCCGTCGAGAGGCTAGAGCCGTCCGACATGCGGCTCCCGCCGCCCTTGTGGCTGGTGGCATGACTCTTTGCCACACGCTCAATGACCGTGAGCAGCTGCTCTCGCGGCTCCTCACGGCCAATCATGTCTGTGGGGAGCATGAAAGACGAGGAGACGTCCCGCGAAGCAACTTGCCAGTCCTTCAAGGAGGCCAGGTCGCCGTTGGCAAGGAAGTTGCGCACGTCGACCAGGTCGTGGCGCAAACCACTCGCCGAGTGGTACCGATCATGAATGTTCTTGGCGGTGCACTTCTGGATAATGCGGCCAATGGCGTCGGGCACGTCGAGGCGGACCGTAGACACGTTCAAAATGCGCCGCCCCAAGACACACTGGACAATGTCCAGGGGTAGCTCGCCCTCGAAAACGGGCTGCTGTGCCAACATCGTCCAGAAGAGAACACCCAACGAGTAAATATCGGTCCGTGAGTCGGGCTCGGCGGGCATACGCCCTGTCTGTTCGGGGCTGATATACATCAGCTTATTCTTGGCACCAAGCTCCTTGGACAATGTAGCCCAGCCCGTGCTCATCAGGCCATGCTCAAAGGACCGCAGGCCAGAGCCGAAGGACACCAGCTTGACCTGGAGGGTGTCTGGGTTGAAATGGAAGGCGTCGCCGCGGATTTCACCATGAACGATATTCTGGCTGTGGTGGATCAGTTCCAGGCACTGCGTTGCACCAATGGCAAACTCTAAAAAGAGCTCGAGGCTGATGGGTGGTCCAAGGTTGATGTCAGGCTTGATATACGCTTCCCATGCGTCGCCGATGCGGCGGGCAAAATAAAATGCCGGGCCAAGGTCGGTGAACTTGGACATGTCGGTTCTGCCGGGGCTCTGGTAGATGGCGACCGCGAGCGGACCGCGGTCACTGGAGTGCGGCGCCAAGCGCATGAGATCGACGGGTTTCGCAAGGTGCTCGCCATGCGGGTCGACGCTCTGATTCATTTTCTTGACAATGTGAAAGGACCGCTCTTCACGTAGCACATGGTATGATATCCGTGCCACAACAGCCTCCTCGACCAGGACTTCACTGGCCGAGGCGAATGAGGCCGAGCTCAATGCCGACGACATATTGTCCACATGGACTTCACTCGCCACGTCGGTCGCCGTTGGGGAGAAGACAGAGCCGTCTGCTGGGGGTGTCCGGTTTGAGACCAAGCGGCCGATAGGTGAAGGGCTCGAGACATGGCTGGGGTGGACTGTAGACTGTGAGGACGCCACGAAATGGGTGACAAATCGCGTGCCAAAGACATGCCTGGGAATCGTCCGCGTTAGATCACAAGGCCATGACATCAACAACAACAACCACGGCACCTCCTGTCCAACTTACCAGTTGTCGTAGCTCGTGTGTAGCGGCCGCTGCGTCTCATCCCAGGTGTATCCAGCAATCTGGCGGAGACGATCGAACATGCGCGCCGGTGGATCGAGCGAGTCGTCCACCAGCGGTCCCGCGTTGATGTCCATGGCGGCCACGCGTTGCAGGCCGTCACGGGTAGTTCTGTGCCGTGTATGTTGTCGTTCGCGTGCGCCGTTGTCGATGTCAAGGAGCGGCTTGCTTTGGGCGACCGGGTTGAGGCTCTTCAGGTCGAGGTTCCCTCGAAGTGATTAGTCTCTGCCAGGCTGCGTCGATATCCGTTTTGGCTGCATCGTCAGGCGTCAACAAGTCGATTGGCAAGCGAATTCGGCGGTGCCGGACGACAACGGAAAGATGCAAACAGGGTGAAAAGGGGAGAAATTGCTAATCGGCCGGCGCGTGTCTGTCACGGCCCGGGCTTGCCTGTCGTCTGAGGGGTCGGGATTTGGAGAGCGAGGCTGCTATCGGAAAGGAATCTAGTCATCCGAAGATGTGTGGCTTGTCGAGGACCTGCTCCGTAAAGAAAAACACCACCGTTCTTTTCCTTGTGCTTCCTTGCGACGGGCAGCGTGCGTACGGCCCCTTTTGCGGTTGTTGCGGTCGGTGAGCTTGGCGGCGCGCTTCCCTCTCTTTTACCACTTCGTTTATCGATGTATCGGGCGATCGATCTGGGCAGAAAAAGTCAACAGGCAGCACGAAATGACGGGACGCCGAGCGGTTCCAGCACGAAGGTACACGCCAAGTTATAGCCACACTACTGGCTAGTGTCGTTTCGTGTCTCACCTCTCCTCCTCGTTCGCAAAGGCGTTTGTTTGTCACTGTGCTGTGAAGCTGCTCTTTCTCTCCAAAACCCCGACTCAGTAAGAAGCGGGTGCCGCTAAATGTCGACTTAGGTCTGCTAGTTGGGCTGCCTGTTGAGAAATCAGGCGCCAAACGCGAACGGGTGTGTATTCCAGGGGAAATGAGTGGGTGCGAAAACTGACGCCGAAGCTGCTGAAGGTTGTTGTGTCGGTGAAGCGTTATGAAGCTGCACACTGCCAGGTTTGCACGCGTATGGTCAACTCACGACCGTGAACAAAGACAATGTAGATACGAAAGAAAGGAAATGAAATGCGAACACAGGATGCAATCAAGGTTGGCACGGGAATGGGGGCATGGGGCAATACGGTAGATAGGAGGGAAAGGTGAGGGAACGTGGGGAAGATGTTCAACGGAAATGCCGCTTTGCAGAAGAATAGAACGATCACAGCAACTCTCGTTCGGACTTGCCTAAACCGACCCAAATGTGGGCAAGGAAGGCGCCGCACATATATGGAAAGAGGACGACGAAGAGCACGAAGCCCCCTAGACAGCGCTGTGCATGGGTCGCCATTGCTGCAACACCGTATCTTACAGTACGAATGTAATTACACTACTACCCTCTACGCGCTTATCCGCATTGTTGCTTCTCACTGTTTTGCTGCCCATGTTATATACCGTAATACTTCTACCCACTAAAATTACAGCTGCAAGTGCCTTGTCCAAAAATCGTTGGGGGGAATGTCATGGCGGGCACTACTGTGCGTTCGCATACAAAGGTCGTGGACGTGTACTTTTACGTCATTTTCTGTAGAACAGCACGCCAGAAAGTACATACAGGCTACTTTTGATCCTTTTACGTGGGATGCATGGCATTCATCCCAAAAAAAGCACAACATGATGTCAGTCTCGACAAACAGCCAATTACGGCGGCTATGCCGACACGAAAGCCCGTCACACTTGGGTCATTCGATCGCCTTGTGGCTGTCGAGACTCGTGCCGTTCTTGTGCGATTGTCTTTTGTGCACCATTTATGACGCAGTCTGGCAGTGTTCAATGGACCTCGTCGCCCCCCGTCGAAGATTTCTGTACTCCGTACTTCTGCAGGTCTGGTATTGGCTCTGAAGGGCTAGCAAACAATATGTTGTTTCTACAGGACGGGATTGTGTGGCTTGCATTCGTAAGCCGTCTTCGACATGCGTGCTACGACGTGAAGCGGAGTGCCAGTGGCGGATCGTGAGATTGGATTGTGCGCCAGGAACAACAAGGCACACAAGGGATAGACTGTACGGCGGCGAACAAAGACGGACGATGCAAGAATGGCAAGGTCAGGCACTGGGATGAGAGCTATCTTTATAATCCTAGTTAAAATACAGTCATCACGCAGAACAAAGGTGAGCAAAAACGACTTACACTCGGGCTGTTGTAAATAAGTAGACTGGCACACTTCGCGATTTTCTATAAAGATGACCAGCGACTTGTCATATCGACAGTGGCATGCACCTATTCGCACACAAAGAGAGGTTGCATAACTGGCGCATGGACCTGCGTGAGCAATAAAACTAGGTCTATGTATCAGCGCCAGACATAACATACAGCATAGAAATAAGAGAGAACAAGGGGGAATGAAGGGAAAGTAAATTGAAAGTAAATCAGCGCGTTCTATTCATCTCCATCTAACTAAATCAAAGTAATAATTTCGCTCTGTCTGAGCAATGAATGCGTAACCTCGAATTTTGTCCCCCTTTTTCTTGCAGACAATTCGCTATCATTAACTGTATATTTTGCTCGTCTCGAAGAAGGCATGCTTTGTCAGCATGTCGCTCGCTACCTACCATCCTCTGTCGCCCCCATTGCAGTGGCAGGCACCTAGAACAGAGCGCCTTAACGTTCACGCGAGGGGAGGGACGCATTCGGGGCCTGGGTACCAAAGGCGAATGTCTGGTCCAGGCGACGCTCGGTGTTCTGGCGCGAGTTGACAAAGTCGGGGTAGTTGAGCGTCAGCTCGACAGCGCCGTTGACAATGTGGTCAACCGCCTCCACACCGAGCATGAACGAGTGGTCCTGGTTGCCGACCTCGTACCGCCAGCTGCCAAAGCGGCCACGAGACAGGATGTCCTTGTCCTGCAGCTTGGGCAGCAGCTCCTTGAGAACGCCCTCGCGCTCCAGGGTGGGCGTCGGGTAGCCCTGGACGAACTTGCGGTGGTAGGTCGACACGATCGCGTCAGTGGACTTGATCATGTCGGTGTTGATAAGGCCCTGAATGCAGTCCTTGAGCAGGTTCTCCTCATCGACGGGCTTGAGCGACGACTGCGACACCTCCAGCATGACGGACCAATATGGGCCGGCCTCGGGCTCGCTCGACGCGGGCTTGCTGCCGTCGGCGTGGTAGAGCGTCGGCAGCTTGACATCAGCTTGCGGCTGGTTGTAGGGCGAGTAGTTGGAGAAGATGGTGGCGCGGTAAAAGGGGCAGTTGTCCTCGGGGAAGTAGAGCTGGAGAACAACAGGCTTTTAGTATGCATATCAACAACAAACAGAAAACACCGGCGACCAACACACTCGGACATACCCAGCACTTGTCACCAATGCGCTCGGGGCGCTCACCACGCAGACCGACACCGATGACGTGGGTCGACGAGTAGAAGAGGCCCTTGGACAGGTCAATCAACGCCTTGTCCTCCATCTTCTCAACAAGCTTGTCCACAGCCATGGTGTTGACCAGCTTGCCGTAGCCAATGGTGGTGCCGTCGGCCATGGTGACAATCTTCTTGTCAGCGTTCACCTTGGCGACCTCGCCCTTCTTGCCAAAGACCTTCTTCTCCTTGGGCAGGGTGTCGGCCACGGCGATCCAGATGCCACCAGTGCCGTCACGAGCGGGGAAGCGGAAGGTGGCGTTGGGGCCCCAGTTACCGGCGACCTTGTTCAGGATGACGTTGCGGATGGTGTTCTTGACGTCGGGGGCGGCGACGCGCTCGCCGAGCCACTGGCACTGCATCTTGGTGGTGGGGACAGCCCACACCTTGTAGTTGTAGGGACGCATAAAGAGGTCGGCGACGCCAGTGCCTGTCATGCGCACGATCCACTCGTCGAAGTTGGCGGGTTTGGTGTTGGCCACGCGGCACTCGAGAGCGGATTCAATGAGGCCGTCGACGCACTTGACCTGGTCCTCCTTGGGCAGAACGGAGATGTTGTTCTGGAAGGGGTAGGGGACCCAGAGGTCGCGGTAGCGCACGTAGGAGATGCGCTGGTGGGTGTACCAGTCGTCCTTCTTGGGGAGGGCCTCATCGAGGCAGTCGTCAAAGTACTTGTAGTGGGAGAAGATGACGTGACCACCGACGTCGTACAGCTGTCAACATGAACGGTTGTTAGAGCGCGAGGTCCTGCGTAGTTTCTGGCGCCTCAAGAGGGCAGGAGAAAGGGCGCATCACATACGAAGCCCTCAGGGGTGACGTCGGTCGAAGCCAGGCCGCCGGCCTTCTCGTTGGCGTCAACAATCAGCCATGAAGGGCCGTTCTGGAGGAAAGCTGTCAGAATACAGAGCAGATTTGGTAACGAGCTGCAGGGCCAGGCAATGCGCCGTGCAGAAGCGTGACATGGATGCCTACGATGTGGTTGAGGCGCTTGGCGGCGCCGAGACCGGTCGGGCCAGCACCGATCACAAGAACGTCGACGTTGCTATAGACAAACAAGTAAGCTAGGGTCAGCCTTGCGGTCTCAAGGTCAATTGAGAAGCACAACGAGTGTAGGCAACGTACAGATCAGCCATTGCTGCGGATGGATGTGTTTGTGGAGGTAAAAAGAAAAGGTTTGGGAGGGGGCGGAATTGGACAACGAGGATGCAGAAAGAGCGGTAAGGGCAAGGCTGGAGAAGCTCTAGATGAAAAGAAAAATCAGCCAGACGAGGCGCGGACAGGAAACAGGCGATGACAGATCGTCTATGCTGTACAGCTAGTTGTGCTGGTTGCCCGGAAGCTGTTCCTGGTTTGTTTTCTTTCCGGCTTCAAATGATAAAGGAGCAAATAAGAGAAATACAGAAATAACGTGCTCCTGCCGTTCGCCCTTTCTCTCAATCGTTCCTGCCACCTTCTCGTGTTGCGACCAGATAAAGGACGCCATTGGCCCCCCTCCACCTTCCCCTGTTGGCCAGGCACAAAGAGGTACGCTCACAAACCCCCCCCCCCTCCAACCAATGCGTGCTCCTGCTCCATTGGCGATTGGCGGGGCGCCGATAGGCCAGTAAAATTATTATTGGATTTTTTAGCCATTGCCACGCCCATCTTCTAGCACCTCGCCCCTGACCCCTGTCCACGTCTTTTTCTGTTTCTGCCAGAGCGCTAGCGTTAGAGAAGAAGGCTGTGTGGGGCGATAAAAATGACTGACAACGGGTAGCCAAAACAAAGACCACCGCCAAAGACTAAAGTTTTTTGGGTGCTGGCAACTGGGAAGGACGCTGGGACGCTATTCAAAGTTTTTTTTTTTCCTTGGTATTTTTGGTTAGGAGGCAAAAAAAAAAAAAAAAAAAAAAAAAAAAAAAGACGACAATCTGAAAGAGATACGCCAGCGTGGTTTGGTCAATGGTGATCTCGACGGAGGAACAAGGTCGTAAAATCTGGTTTCCCTGGTTCCCTGGCTCCCTGGTCATTGTCGACGATCTGGGCTCATCTCCGACTTGATATGAGAGAATAACGGGACAGCGTCTGACAGTACAGAAGTACCCGTCCGTCATTTCGGCAAAGATATGCGTGGTCTGTACTTACGTTGTACTTCTGTTCGTACAGAGTAATTTATGAAGCACTGTACGAAATATATAAAGGTACCAGAGATTGCCCATAAGCCTTTCCCGCAGCCCATGACGCAGTTCTGCAGACAAGCAACAGAATGACGCGCGAACGCAACGAGGTAGGATAGGTAGAGCCTTTAGCCTATGGAAGTGCGCTTCAACGTGATACAATCCGATGCTCGTAGAAATACAGTGATTCTCAAACGTGATGTGTACCTGCATATCATCCATCATCGTGGGTGGACCCTAGGGGCGTTCCTACCAACTGCTATCGAAACACCTTGTTTGTTCTTGAAGCCGGGTGCCACAAGGTTGAGATTCCAGTAAAACCAAAACAGCAGACTCGGCCGATGGGTTAGGTACGTCAAGGGGACGAGACCAGCGAGGCTGACGTCGTCGTCGACGTGCAAAAGACGCAGCCTGATCCTGGCTGTATTTCTCGCCAAGCAAAAAGCACAAGATGAGACAAACAGGTGTCATTTTAAGTGCTTGTGGCTTCCGCGTCATGTTTCTAGTAGGAAACGGCCCGGTTCGCTGTCCTCCCTTCAACGGCTTCGACTGGTCGTGGGATCTCTGGGTTCGAACTCGCAATGTGCGACTCGGCCCAGCGGCAAATGGCGGAGGAGGCGCTCCTGGCAGTATTCATCCTTCCATATTTGTATGACAGGCGAGATGGTCCGAAATACCAGCAAGACGTCGCACCAGAATTCCCTATGCGCCTGTCAAACCTTTCCGTGCTTTGGTTTCCGTCGCTTCTACCACACACAGCCGTGACGTGAAGGCCTGGCCTGGACCCGAGCCACGCGCTGCCAATGCGTGAGACGGCCTGGCCCGCGAACGCATCTTCGCGGTAGGTGCAAGCTAACACGGACGAAGACCGTATGTTACGACATACAAAATATGGAGTATACCACGTAATGCCAGAGGACTTGTAGGCAGTCAGAGGTGCATTGCATGGCCGGATAAGCTTCTGGCAGCAGGGGAAAGGCCGCAATTGGCATCTTGTCAACTTGCAGCGGCATCGCCAAGACGCTCCCAAAGCTCTTGGCGCAGGAGCTTCAATCTGGGGCACAGTCGGATGGAAGGATTGTCTCCATACTTGTTCCTCAAACAGGCCATGACTCTGCGTGATAGGTCCCCCGATCGTTCTGTCTTACTCCGTACATTTATTCCCAAAGAGACGACACCTCGCTTTCTGACGGACGGTTGCATAAACAAGTGGGTGCACAATCAGTCTCGCAAATTCGCCGAGGCAGGGAACAATTTTGCCGGTCAAAATTCCTACTTGAGAATCCCAGTTTGAGACGGCGAAGAGGCACACGGAAAACAAGAAATACTGTGGGCTCACATGAGGGAACAGGAGCCCTGCAAGCCCATCAACCAACAGTCCTTTCCAAGGAGAGGGCAGCGCAGACTGGGGCGCAGGACGTAAGACATGTCGATCTGCGCCTGTTTAAACAGACACGGCCAGGACAGGCCCAACTCAGCAGCACGTCGCCCTCTGTCGCCTGTCTGACGATGGTATCGAGACTTCAAAGGAGCAGAGATATATCAGACAGTCGACGCGACCGCGTTTCCACGTTAAGAGCAATGTTTTCTCCTTCTAGTTCGCATCTCGATTTCCTACTTTTGCCCATCCCTCCCTATCTTACACGTCGCCGTAAAGGGAGGCCCAAGGCTGTGGTCTGCGTGGTCCGCTCAGTGTCTCTGATTTGCTCAGAAGATATAGAGTGATTTGGTTTTCATGGCCTTGCCTGCTTGCCCAACCCAAGATACTTCTGACATGTGTCCACTACTAAAGCCACTTCTGCTCTTTTTCCAACATCTTATTCCTTTGCCTAATTTAGCATGCCCCCCTGTCCAAATTGACTCGCTTGACGAATACATTCAGGGAATTTGTCGACAGCTAAAACTTGGCTTTCCTCCGCAACTATGAATACGATGTAATTACTTCCCAGCGGAGCGGCACTGTCACCCACGGCCGAGAAACAAGGCACGTATCCCATATGCGCCTTGAAACGATATTCAAAAGTGAATAGCCGGCGGAACGTATGAAAGCAAGGCGGCACAACCTAGACATTGTGTTCCGAGCATACAAACAGGATCCAAGACCAGCAGCCAGCGCAAGGCATGGGCACTCTCGCACTGTAAGACAGGGGGCGTACGGAGCAATTACGAACAGGCCGTGGTAGGGGACAGGAAAACCGCAAGCGGGAGGTGTCTCACAAGATACGGTAAACTGCTTCTTGGTCCGAAAGTATCTTACAGAATAAAGGCGAGCTGCTTGTAGAAAAATGGCGTAATGTATCCTTTCGCGCTAAAAGCTGCAAATTGGTACCTCATTCCCTTTTGGCCTGCATCCTCCCACTCCCACGCCATATTCCCTAGTACCTATTTCTTTTTTCTTTTTTCTTTTTCTCCCCCTTTTGATTAAATCATGGCTGTGCAAAGATCACGAAATTGTCCGCATCCGTTGGCCATTCGCGATCGCTCGCAGGGGCCACGCTCACATCAAATCTGTGCTGTCGCTGTCGTGAACCCGTCTTCTGTAGGAACAGTGCGACTGCGAATCTGTTCTCTCTACTGTAGCCCCTTGCTCAAATTTACAGCACCTTTTAAAAATGCCGTCATGCTGTCAAGTCCGGTTTCGTTTTGGTTGCCTCTCCTGTCAATTTCTTTCATCCGTTTCGCCTTTCTTTTGCTCCTGAATCTTGTTCTAGTGCCGGCTCCTAAGCTCCAATTTTCTTAGTCGTAGTGGGAATGAGACTGAACAGAGGAGGCAATCTAGCAATGTCGTCGAAGATTAGCGTCTTTGTGCCCCATAACGCACCCTCCCACCACTGGGCCTCCCCTATTTCATTTCCTCCCAATCCCCCACTGCCTCCCACTTCTGCTCCTTCATTAGTTTCCCTCGTGTTTGTCTCCTCTGTTCACTAGGTCTCGACTAATCTTCTGCAAACCAAGCTTTTTTGTTCGTCTTTCTAGGTCGTAGACTCAATCCAAGCGCCACAAACACTGATACCACACGTCACCAACGTTAAAAAAAAAAAAAAAAAAAAAAAAAAAAAAAGAACGCGCACTAACGTACCGGCTGCGTCCCAAGCCTCCCTAGCAAACCGCCCCAAAAGCCAGATTAGAAGGACGGCCGCCACGCTTCTAGCCTGGATTGGCACTGAAGACTCCCCTATTTATTTCCCTGCGGCAGCACAGCACACACCAGCAAAAAAAAAGTGAGCATTCGTACTCTCTTCTTCCACCTCGCTCTCCTCCACACCCCCAATCTCAACCGCAACCAATCTACGCTTGGCAATCACTCTCTTCCTTCTTTTTTGCTCCCTCCAGTGCTATTGGAATTTGACCTTGCATTCTTCTCGAAACACGCCACCAAGCCCTCTCTTTCTCGATTCGACCTCTCTCACACGCGTTCTCCTTCTCCTCTCTCCATCACGCACACAACTTCAAAGCGTCCATCATGAGTGCCGACGAGAAGATGCGGACGTCCGGCGAGGGCGTTCGCGAGGCCGGCTCCGGCTCCAGCTCGTCTGCCCCCGTCCTGCCGACTGTCAACCCCGAAGCCGAGAAGGCGCAGGCTCCCAAACCCACGATCCCTGCCGCCGCCTACGTAATGTACGTTTTCCAGTCTGCCGTCCGAATGCTGGTTTGCATCGACGCGCCCTCCGTCCATTTGCTAATGTATCCGTTTTGTCGATGCACAGTGCCTGGATCAGCTTGAGCTCGTCTGTCATCATCTTCAACAAGTGGATTCTCAGCACTCTCAACTTCCGTACGTCACCATCTTACGCAGCGCCAAGAACATACAGAACATCGACAACGTGCTAACAATGTGCCTTTGCAGGCTTCCCGGTCATCCTCACCACCTACCACCTGCTCTTTGCGACGGTCATGACACAGCTTCTCGCCCGCTACACCAACCTGATTGATGGCCGCAAGTCGGTCAAGATGACCGGCCGCGTCTACCTGCGCGCGATTGTCCCCATTGGCGTCTTCTTCAGCCTGAGCTTGATCTGCGGCAACCTGACGTACCTCTACCTTAGCGTCGCGTTCATCCAGATGCTCAAGGCGACCACCCCCGTCGCCGTGCTTCTGGCCAGCTGGGCCATGGGTGTCTCGCAGCCCAACCTCAAGGTGTTCCTCAACGTCATGGTCATCGTCTTCGGCGTCGTCCTGGCGTCCATCGGCGAGATCCGCTTTGTCATGACCGGCTTCCTCTACCAGCTCGGAGGTATTGTCTTCGAGGCGATGCGCCTGACCATGGTCCAGCGTCTGCTGAGCTCCGCCGATTTCAAGATGGACCCGCTCGTCTCGCTGTACTACTTCGCGCCCGTCTGCGCCTTCATGAACCTCGTCGTGGCCCTGATGTGGGAAGTCCCCAAGGTCACCATGGCGGACTTTAACAACGTCGGCTACGGCTTGTTCTTCCTCAACGGCCTGTGCGCGTTCCTGCTGAACGTCTCGGTTGTCTTCCTGGTACGTTTCATCGCGGGTCCTCCTGGTACCACTTGCATGTTTCCATCCGCAACGGCGCGCTTATTAACCTTTCAACAGATTGGCAAGACCTCCGTCCTGGTCCTCACCCTGTGTGGTGTCCTCAAGGACATCCTGCTGGTCGCCGCCTCCATGCTGATCTGGGGCACGCCCGTCACGGGCCTGCAGTTCTTCGGCTACGGCATTGCCTTGTGCGGCATGGTGTACTTCAAGCTCGGCTACGACACCCTCAAGAACTACGCCGCCGAGGGCGGCCGCAAGTGGGCTGAGTTTGGCGCCTCGCGCCCGGCCCTGCGCAAGATCATCATTGGCGGCACCGTCCTGGCAGCTGTCTTCTTGGTCTTCACGTGGGCCAGCCCGAGCAGCATCCCGGTCACCCTACCCGTCCGTTTATGATCAAAGCACACCCGCACGACCTTTCAACGACAGTTCCCTTTTACAAAGGCAGTTTAAGACACATTGACTGCACCTTTTTTACTGTATTCTCCTAATTGCGCAAGTGTCCGAACCTCTTTTTTTCTTATAAACTTTCCAACCCTTTTCCCCCATTCTTGACACTTGCTGGGAGTACACGTACGACTACGAACCAATAAAAAAAAAGACGAGACTTTTCGTCCAAACTATGGGACGGAACGGCCTTGCTGAGCATTCGGAGTATATATATTTTAAACTGCTGCTTTTTGTTATGCCCATTTCTACACATCTGTCTTTTTCTTTCTTCGCTTCTGTTTGTTTTATCACTGTACGCGTCTGTCTTCTTTTATGCGGTGTAATATGTTAGGTCGACTTAATAGAAGGTTTCCGTTTTTTATTTCATTTTCCTTCTAATCGCATGTATTCGCTTTGTTTTTTCGACAGTATGTGGTTTTATGTTCAATAGACGACAGTCGGGAGATGTAGTTAGACTTTGTCCTTGCTAGCTGGAAAAACATATTTTCTCAGTCGGAACTGATGAATTACGTGTGCCGAGATCGAGACGTAGCATTTCACAGTACACAAAAGAGAATGGTCCGAGGCATTGGTAGTTGTTCAAGTTTTTTTTGTATCATTTGTTTCTTGATCGTTCACGGGTAGCCATCGAAAACTGATGACAAAACTCCCCGTCCATGGTTTTATGTGTTCCTGGAAACCAACCAATCCTTTTTGACCAAACCCGACGCCATTTCCTCGCGTCGACTTTCGTACATCCCCCTTTCATGGATTTCAAATAGCACTCTCGTCAGATGCCCTCTCCGTTTCCAATCGTCCATCGTTGTCAACAGGTCACCCAAGCCTATGCTGCTCGTAGTCCCTTCTTCCTGTCCTTAAGATCTCCGTCTCGTTTGGTGAGTCGATTCGTGAGTAGACCGAATGTTGAGAGGATAGTCGTTAGAGATTCGGTGGGGAGAATGGCGCAACGTTGTTCAGGTGGAGAAGGGCGGGCACAAGACAGTGAAAGAATGACGATATGAAAGAGAGAATCATCAAGCGAGTATAGTTTTAATATTTTTCTTTTTGGTTTTGTATGACCGGTTTTGTAACAGATGTTGGATGCAACATCATGACCCTCCCGCAAGATGACAAAAAAGAGGAAAACGAAAACACAGCGCGAACCCCCCGTGACACTTAGAATTCTGGACACCAAATGTTAGTAGGGAACAGAAAGACATACGAAAACTCGTATCAACCGCACTCGTCACTTACTCAGAGGGGTGAAGAACCACCGGTTCTTGCCGCTCGTGTACCGCTCCTCGAGGACCTTCTTGACGGTCTTCTTGGCCTCCTCCCGTTGGCTGACCTCCTTGAAGGTGTCGTTGGAGATGACGCCCTTGAGGCCCTCCAGCTCCAGGGTGTAGCGAGTGGGCATCAGGTGGTTGTAGTTGACAACCTTGATGAACGGCTTGACCTTGCTGCGCTTCTCTTGCCGGGTCTTGGACATGCGGCGGGTGATCTTGGACGGGTAGCGCTCGATACCGGCGACCAGGGCGTGGCCGTAGGGGTGCAGCTTGTTGCCAGCATCAACCGGCTGGATGATTACGACCTGTAGTTGAGCAAACGACAATTAGTCTCGATGCTCTCCTCACTCTCCTTACTCCATCCCTTTGATAACGAGCATTGTCTCAACAGGTCGTGAGACGCGATGCGATCGGCTTCGATGGCCCATGTCTTTGTCCATCTCCCCGTGTCGAATCTCGAAAAAAGCTGTGGGTTGTTCAAAACAGTCGGTATCATCGCGCTCCGTTCGTTAACGGTCTCTCTCGGCAGGTCGGAAGAACCAAATCCGTCGATCGGATCCCAGAAGCCATGTCGTGGTCGAGTTACTTTCCACCGGATGTTCCATGATTCGGGCTGCCTCGAAAAATTTGTCGTCGGTCGTCGTCCTGCAGCATTTCGTGTTTTCGGGTTCCATCCAGTGTCCAGCTCCAAGAAACACATCGTCCATCGCACCGTCCTTCGCATCGTGACCTTTGAGACAGCGACTTTTTCGTTCCTCATTCGATCTTCAGTTCATTCGGTTCTTACCTTCTTGCCGGCGTAACGGCCGCGGGTGATGATGGCAACACGGCCAACCTTGAGGAACTTCATGGTGAATTAAAGAAAGAACTGAATATTCCCTTAACTCGGAATGGTGGGTGGTGGGCTGGGTGTTGTGGAAAAGAAGAGAGGCTCGACAGGACGTTTCGTGAAAATTGGGCGTCGATGCGAAAAAGTCGGTTTGTCGATTGTGGTGCACAGGTTCGGAAAGGGCCAACAGAGACCACGCACGACAGGGTGGTTAGGTTTTTTCCCTAGCGCACCCTCACTCGGCAGCAAAATTACAAAAAAAATTTTTGTGTGGGCAAAAAATATTCGCATGGCCGCTGAGTCCGCCCCGCTCATTGGCCATTATTGATGACTAAACAATAAAAGTATGGGTCCGTTTGATCACTAGGGTGGTTTTGGTCTACATAGGTTTAAAAAGATCACGTGACACTTACGAAAACGCGAGCGAAGGTGGTCTCCGCTTGAGATGACAAGGAAAAGCGGGTCAGCGTGCGCTGATTGGCTCCTTGACGTATCTCTCAGGTCTCGGAAAATGATGGTTGAGCTGCTATTTGGAGCAATGCAAAGCAACAGACGAAGCACACAGTCAACGAAAGGGCGCTTCGATACACAGATACACGATACACTATATTCAGCCATGCCTGGCCCTACATACATTATCTCGCGGGTTGCTGACCCAATCTTTGCCGTCTTCATCGGCGTGTCGGCAGCGGCAACGCGGATCAACCGGGAGCAAAAAGAGAAGGGCAAGACAACGCAAGAGACAATGGATGTCATTAAGAGGTATGTTTGTCAAGTGTTCATTATTGATGCTATTATTTACAAAAATTCAGTGTGCTGCTAGCATACAATGGGGTGTTTTATTTACTTACTCTGCTCCCAACAGACGCCTCACTGGCACCACGAAGACGCCGGCAGCATGAGCACATAGATTGCTTCGAATACGACAAGCCGTCCTTCCTGTCCTAGAATCTCAGACTTTCGAGCCGCTTCCGTTGTCGGCGCCGTACTCGCCCTTCATCATCTGCTGTACCATCTGGCCGCACAACTTGGCAGTCGGGTTCGTACCCACGGCCAGGCCACGGGCAATCTCGTTACCGAAGCGGCCGCCCATGGCAAAATCGCGCGATGCCGCCTCCTCAAAGTCCATCTCGGACCAGCGCGCCTCAGGCCGGTCGACCGCGGCATTGCAGCGCCTGCTGTTGGAAGCAAGCTGCTTGGATGTGGCATAGTAGATGGCGGCGCGCTGGGTGAAGGCGAGGGAGAGGGTCTTGGCGGCGGTCGGCGAGAGCGCGGCGGATGCGAGACTGGCGGGCGCGGGCATCAACAAGGCAATGGCCCGGTCGAGGTCGGAGAGCACGGTGGCGGCCGCCTCTGCACGCTCCGTCGCGTCGGCCGCAGGGCCGCTCAGAATCGCCTCGACGCCTCGTTGCGGGCGCGGGGCGCCAAGCACCGGTCCATCAACGATGGGCTCCAGAAGCATGTCGTCGCCGTAGAGGCGACGCAGCGCCTGGGCGCGGTTGTTGCGCGCACTGGCATACCGAGGGTGCTCTTCGACAAGCCTGCCCAGGCGAGCAACACATGCCCGGTAGGCCTCGACGGGGTCGGGCAGCGTCTTCTGCTTGAGCCGGCAAGCTCCATCTCTGCCTCTTGCATTGACAGAATGAGCTCCCGCTCCCTCTGGCTGACGGCGTCGTACTCGACGGCATCGGTGATGTGCGGGTCCTTGGGCAGCGAGGCATCGAGGCGAAGCCCACTCTCTGGGTTGGATTCGGGGTCGCGGATCTTGCCGAGGACATCAATGTCCCGTCTGCTGAGGGAAATGTTGCCAGCCATGGTTGACGTGAGGTGTGAGGCGGTGTGAGGAGGATAGCTTTGTGTGAGTTGTAGGTTGGGTATGCTCAAATATCATCGACAATGAAATCGAGTATCAAAACGGTCTCCTGAGCTGCTTCGACAAACGACCTGATTTAAACCCGGAATAGTCGACAATGACAATGCATATCAAAACAACTTTGTTATTCGACGCTCATCGAGAGGCAAAAAGCTTACAATCCCGAAAGGCACGGTCGACCAGTCGAAGCTGTCACGAGTCTCAGCCCCATCGGCTGTCAATTAAAAAGCGTCCGGGCGCGCCTTCTGCGAAGTATGTGCAAAACAGATCGCTCCTTCACTATCTGACTATGTAGTCATGCCCTCTGGCTGGAATGCACATCACCTTCCATAAGCGACCTGTGCGACCTGCACTGCGGTAAGCAGGAACGCAGAGGGAGGTGTGGGGCAACGGGCATTGGCTGGGTGCGGAAAGTGTCTTAGTGTCTGTTGGACCGGTTGGCTGCAGGCGGGCGGCCAGTGTCGGCATGGCGCGGCTTCCCCCGCAGCCCTGCACTCTGTCTGTGCGCGATAAGGATATGGGCGGCAGGCGGCAAGCGTTCCGCGACCACCAACAAAGCCGAGCGTCACCTGAATCCCAGCCAACATCGCCATCAGATCGGCCTGCTGAGAAAGGACAGCAGACGTACTTCGTACGGAGTAGGCAAAGTATGTGCACGGCTACAAGGATCGCCACCGCTCTGTCTGCCACTGTCTGGCACGCTTTCGTATACGGGCACGTCGGGCACGCTGACAGATACTAAGACCGCACCACTGTACGTCACTCTGGGCCGAGCTGACCTGCGCTTCTGGTTCCATCTGCTGCCGCGGATGTGGAATCGCACTGTCGGGCACAGTACAAAGGACTGCTACGTTCAGTTATATAATTGTAGTGAACATCCGGCATCGACATCGTATCTACGTGTTACTATATTTGGCCCCTTCGTTTCCTCTCTCGTTGCCCTTTCAAAGGACTATCTTCCACATTCTCCCTTTTACAATCACCGCGATATTTTACATCAACACAGCAAAAGCACACCCGCACACAACTCCCACCACTTGTTGGCCCGTCCCCGAATCACATTTTGTGTCCATGTCCCCGTCTGCCATCTCCGACTCGCCCAGAAACTCGGTTTCTGATCCGCATACCGCGCACAAGAACATCTTCGGAGGAACCAAAAATGGAGCCGCCATTGATGCCGCCGTAACCGCTGCTGCGGGCGCGCCGACCTTCCACGGCTATGACCACGTCACCTGGTGGGTTGGCAACGCCAAGCAGGCCGCCAACTACTACAGCACCCTTTTCGGGCTGCCCACCTTTGCCTACCGGGGCCTGGAGACCGGCAGCCGCTATTTCGCCTCGTACGCCGTCGGCCACCACCGCGGCGGCGGCACTGCCGACAGCGCCATCGAGGACGACCAGGACAACGTGTGCTTCGTGTTCACGTCGCCCATCCGCTCGTACCGCCACCTGCCCGAGGACGAGCCCATTTCGGACGCGGACCGTGCGCTGCTGCGCGAGATGCATGACCATCTCGAGCGCCACGGCGACGCCGTCAAGGACGTTTGCTTTACCGTCGACTCGGTCGAGGGCGTCTACCAGCTGGCGACCGCCGAGGACGGTGTCCCGGGCAAGGACAAGGACGCCAAGGTCGTCGGCGTGCAGCCGCCCACCCAGCAGCACGACAAGCTGTACGGCGGCAGCGTCACCACGGCCGTGATCCGCACGTACGGCGACACGACCCACACGCTGCTCAACCGCGGCGACTACAAGGGCCCCTTTTTGCCCGGCTTCCGCGCCGTGGCACCGCCCAAGGCCGCCCCCGCGGCACAGCCTCGTTCAAGCCCGTCGTCATGGCCCCTGCGCCGGCGGTCGGCCTGCAGCGGATCGACCACTGCGTGGGCAACCAGGACTGGAACGAGATGGAGGCGGTCTGCGCCTTCTACGAGCAGCGTCTCGGCTTCCACCGCTTCTGGTCGGTCGACGACAAGCAGATCTGCACCGAGTTCAGCGCCCTCAAGAGCATCGTCATGTCCAGCGGCGGCAGCGCCAACACGGTCAAGATGCCCATCAACGAGCCGGCCCCCGGCAAGAAGCGCTCGCAGATTGAGGAGTACATTGTCTTCAACAGCGGCGCCGGTGTCCAGCACATTGCCCTGCGCACCCCGGACATTATCCAGGCCGTGTCCAGCCTGCGTGCGCGTGGCGTGCAGTTTATCGACGTGCCGTCGACCTACTACGAGGCGCTGCGCAAGCGGCTGGCCGCCAGCGCGGCGGGCACAGGCGCGAAGCTGGCGTGGCACATTAGCGAGGAGCAGCTGGCCATCATCGAGCAGCTCAACATTTTGATCGACTACGACGAGGGCGGCTACCTGCTGCAGCTTTTCACCAAGCCGCTCATGGACCGCCCGACCGTCTTCATCGAGATCATTGAGCGCAACAACTTTGAGGGCTTTGGTGCGGGCAACTTCAAGAGCCTGTTTGAAGCCATTGAGCGCGAACAGGCTGAGCGCGGCAACCTGTAGGGGGAGGGGCTGAGTGTGGCTCGGCAGTGAAAGGGGGCCACGTCGATTGCTAGCTACGACATGACGTTTATTTACTTGTTGCTTGGGGCTACTCTTGCGTTGATTTAAAAGGATCAATTTACTGTCTGAGAATACTCAATGATTTTGTATTTATTTTTTTATAAAAGTTGTGCTCTGAAGGAAAAAAAATAACTGAGTTACAAGATAATTACGTGTCGTCGTATTGTATGTGATGCTTCCGTTAAAACTAGATTATAAAGGACCCAAAATATGATGCCGTTTTCTACAATGCTAAGCCAACTAAATACGCGTGTGAAACATCACTCCTCTCGCTGCCCTCTCCTTGTATGCTCTCGTCATTCACTTGTTTTCGACATGGCACGCGCTCCGGTCCCTTACACGTCCTCGTTTTCCCAGTCCTTCTCCGCAAACATCGGCCGCCGGCTGCCATTGTTGTTGTTGGCGCTCTCCAACTTGGCCAGGAACTCTGGCGGCAGCGTCGGAATGTACTTGTGCTCGCGCTCACGGTTCACGCCGCCGAAGCCGGCGCCGTACGACACCAGCATGTCCGTTGCCGATGGCAGCGTGAACGGCAGCATCAGCGCCGGGTCAAGAAGCAGATGCTTGGGCGCGTCGTCCTCGTCGTCTGCGTCGCCGTCGTCGCGCGTCTTGGCCGGCGTGGCCGCCGGTGTCAGGCTGCCACCGCCGCCGTTCTTCTTGGCGGGTGTCGAGGGTGCGTCGTGGGCCGCTTGTGCGGCCGCTTCGGCCGCCTGCGCCTCGCTCACCTTGACAGCCGCCGACCCGGCGAAATCGGCCAGGGCAGGTGGTGCGCCGTAGGCGCTCGCGGCGGCGGATGCGACGGCCTTGACGACAAAGGCCGGGGCCGTGGGCGCAGGTGCGGCGGCGGGATTCGACAGCTTTTTGCTGCTGCTCTTTGTTGGCGGCGTCGGCGACATGGTCTTGCGCCGGTTGCGGAGCTCCTCACGCCGCAGCGTCGCCTCGCGCTGGATGGCCACGAGGTACTTCATCGCACTCTTGGGCAGGCCCTTTTCGCCCACCTCGGGCCGGTAGTGCTCGGCCGCGTGGATCAGCTGCTGCGGGCTCAGCGCCTTCAGCTGCTGCAGCGTGCCGACCAGCGCCTCGAGATCGTCGGCGCCCAGCGACGAGAAACACTGCAGCCACTGCAGCAGCTGGATGACGGGCTCCAGGTGGCGCCGCGCGGCCTCCATCGTGGGCTCACCCGACGAGCGCATCTCGCCATGCTCAAAGTGCTCGGGCATGCGGTTGTTGGTGCGCGCCCAGTCCTCGAGGATGGACACGTTCATGCGGATCTGCATGGCCTTGGTACGCGCCAGGTATTTGCGGTTGGACATGATGCGGTTGAACAGCTCCGCGCTCAGCCAGTACATCAGCTGCGAGATGATTTGCGCCGTGATGACCGAGTGCACGTCGTAGAGGTCCAGCACGAACAGCGTCGACGACAGCAGCGAGGTCACGTTGCGCGGTGCGGGCTTGGCCCGCTGCTTGGGCGACGGCGGCCGCATGCGCCGCTCGAGCGGCTCCTCCTTGACCTCCTTCTTGCGCTTGAAGATCTTCCACTCGTTCTGGAAGGTAATGTCCTCAAACCCGGGGATGATTTCGTGATCCAGCATGCCGGCGTCGAGAACCTTGTCCAGCCGCCGCTCGGCGTCGCGCACAATGAGAATAAAGATCTCGTTGATGAGCTCGGCCAGCTGCGCTTGAAACTCGGTTGTCGCTTCAACGAGCCCGGCGTCCTTCTTCAGGTAGTGCAGGAGCAGCGTCGCGTTGGAGATCCAAAACGCCAAGATCGTCATGTCCCACTGGTGCTGTTCGACAACGTCGTTGATCTTGTCCATGGCGGTGATCAGCAACTTTGCTAACAGGTCTTGGCTGGCGTGGTAGTGGGCGTAGCGGGCGCTCAGGAAGATGACGTTGGCGGGGACCGGTTTTTGTGACGGTGAGCGCTGGGGCTGCATGTTGGTGATGACAATGTCGAGGATGCGGTCCAGGTCGACCTCCTGGAACACAAACATCTGGTCGTGCAAGCAGCGTGACCAGTCAAACTCCTGCTGCTCCTCTTCGAACTCGTCCACTGGCTGCTGGCCTGTCAATACACAGCCCTTGCGCAAAAGTTGACATACGTAGTGCAAACCAAAATACAAATACTTACTTCTGGCTGGTCGTCGATGCCGACATTGCCCAGGTCGACCTCCAGGTCACGGGCGCTCTCCATCATCATTCGTCGCCGCATCTCGTTCTCGGCCATCTCCTCTTCGAACCGGTCCTGCGAGAAGCCTGGGTTGTAAAAGTCGTCCGTCACGCCGGCGTTGCCAATGTTGTAGCCGCTGTCGTGGAGATAAAAGGACATTTCACTGTCCGGCGGCACAAAATCAAAGGCCGTGCGCCCGCTGGACGTCTTGGTGTCGGTGGCCGCACCGCTGTCGAGCAGGAGCTTGGCAATGTTCTTGTGCCGGTTCGTCATGGCCCACATCAGCGCGCTCCAGTGGTTGCGGTCTTGTCGGTCGACGTCGGCTCCCGCGGCAATCAGCGCCTGCACAACGCCCTCGTGGCCGAAGCAGCTCGCGTAGATGAGCGGCGGCGTGCCGTCCTCGTCGGGTGCGTTGAGATCGATAAATGGCCGCGCCGGGCCGTCCAGAATCTTGCGGACCTGCACGACATTGCCATTGCTGGCCGCCATATTAAAGATACGCTGCAGGGTCGCGCGCTTGTCGTCGTCGGAGAGCTCCTCGTTGGACGCCACGGCGTCCGCGTCCTCGTCAATGGCGGCGGCGTTGTTGGAGAGGGCGGCCTGCGCGGCTAGCATTTCCATGAGCCGCGTGTCGCTGTCTGGGACATGGCCCTTTGTCAGGTCCTCGCTGTAGTTGGGGTCGTTGAGGGTGAGGTCGCCGAAGCCGAGCGGTTTCGCAAGCATGGGAGAGGTCAAGAACTGGGATTGTCCTGGTAGGAGGGGATAGGTTAGTTAGCACCGATGGCAGTGACAACACCACACAGAGATCCCACAGAGATCCCACAGAGATCCCACAGAGATCCCACAGAGATCCACAGAGATCCCACAGAGATCCCACAGAGATCCCCTCCGGGGAAACGTGTCAAGCTCACCTTGCCACCCATCGTAAAGCTCCGTCTCGGGCACGAGGTCTGTTGGGCGCCGTCGGTCATCCAGCGACTTGGGCAGGTCCAATGGTAGCGCGCGTGGCTTTTTGGCGTCGCCGGCATCCTCCTCGCCCGACGACGCGAAGCCGCCGCCGCCGAAGGCGTCGTTCTCTACATCGTCTGCATCCATTGCTGCTGAAAGCCTGTCAGGCCCGGAGAGCTGCCGTTAAGCCTGTACCAATGAAACAGCTCCTCCAGGAGTCCGGTGGTGATCGGAGGACGCGGGATGGTAGGAGGCTACAGTCCCACACACCACCCCAGGTTGAGTCGTGCGTCCGACGTGTTTGGAGTTGCCAGAGGGGCGCACTGGTCGTGTGATGCCCGTTTTTTCGATTCGCAAATGGTTGTCGTGCCTGTGCCTCGCCGCATCGGCTGCGTCTGGCTGGTTGCGTTGAAGGGTCAAAGGGGTGACCGACGTCAAAGCTTGCGGAATAGGCGGGCGTACTTGCTCGCCCTTCGGTAGGCGACGGTCGCTCTTGCTGCATGCACTTGACGGTGTTGGCAGTGGTGCTCCTGCCCTGGTGGCGCGGGGCAGATCGACTAAACGGGCAGTGCCCACAACAGGGGAAAGTGGGCAGGTCTTGTTGCGGCAACCGCTATTCTGAACGAGACCCTACCGACGAAAAGGGGCAAGACAGGGAGTATAAAAGGATGAGATGGATACAGCCTTCTCGCCGAACCACCGAGTCTATTTTATCATTTCGACAATCTACCGAGAGGTGCTCGACTCGGGACAATGCTCCGTGGTGGGAAATTAGACTGTGCTAGTTGCTTGGGCGTGCTGCTTTACCGGGAAGCTTGCTGTATGACGCGGATTATATAAGCCAAGTGTGACATATCACGTGCATTTACTTGATTGCTGAAAATGTTGACTTCATCTTCAGTGCATCTTCTACACAGTTTTCACGAGCGATATAGTATGTGTTAAAGTACTGAATAACTGGGGGCGCTTATGATAAAATATCAAACCAGTATGTATAGCTATGACTGGCGTTTGGGCATCTCTTTTCGGCGTAGCTACACTGAATATTGCCGCACATCAATTTTGGCATGAAAATGGAGTCATGACTTGCAATGTATATTATCCAAATGCTGGTTGGATGGTTCTGTAATCAGCTATTCAGCTCACACTAGATCGCTCTGGTAGCGAAGACGCGGATGCGCTTGACACCGCCGTCGGGAATCATGACCAGCTTCACGTGCGTCGCCACCTCGCCAGCCGGCAGCTGCGACGCGAACTCGTGCTCCTGGTCGGGGCCGCACTTTGACGGGGGGACGGCTTCGACCCAGGCCGCGTCGTCGTGGGAGGGCTCCGAGCCAGCGGGGCCGGTCCAGCGCAGCGCCTCCACCTTGACCTTTTGCGGGAAGTTGCCGCGGAAGTAGGCCGTGTCGACAACGAAGCGCTGGATGTGGCAGGCAGCGCCCAGGCGGATAATGGCCCAGTCAACGTGGCCCTTGGTGCGCGACCGCGCCGTCTCCCAGCCGTCGCCCATGTCCTTGCCGCGGCCGGGCAAGATCAGGTTGTCCTTGGTGCCAAAGTGCTGGTCGCTGCAGGCGACGGCGACACCGCCGTTCTGGGCGGCCGCGAGGTCAAAGACGGCGCTGGCGTCGGCCGGGAAGACGGGCACGGCGTGGCCAAAGAGGCGGAAGCGCGCAATGCCGCCGTCGGGGTACATGTTGAGGCGTACGTGGGTGTAGGCCTTGGTGGTCTCGGCGTCCAGCTTCCAGCCGTGGCGCTGGCGGGGGCCGCAGGGCTGCACGCCGAGGATGGTCTCCCAGCCGCCGCGGCCGCCACCCCACGACACGACGTCGGCGTCGTCGGCGCTGAAGCAGCCCTCCACAGAGATGGCGGGGGCCTCGTTGCCGCTGAAAAAGGCCGTGTCGATCTCGACGCCGGTCACGGTGCCCGAGGCGACGCCCAGGCGGATGATGACCCAATCAAAGGGCTCCGGGTTGTGGCGGCGCGTCTCCCAGCCATCAAACCAGGCGCCGCTGAAGACCATCTTGCCATCTTCGTGAATGGGCGCCTTGGGGTTCAGCAGGTTGGCGGCATCGGCAAACCATTGGTCGGAGAAGGCAAGAATCTTGCCCTCGAGGCCAGCGGAGATGAGATCTGTGGCGGTCAGCGATGAGCGATTTGATAGTGGATGCAAGCGCAGGTGAAGCAAGGCGGATCCAGACAGATAAGCGACGGACGGCGTGGGGGCTCGATCGTGCACAGGCCTTGCACAGTGTACGCCTCACGTACCGATGCTGTTGGAGCGGAACGTTGTATCGATGTCGTTGGCGGGAATCTGCGTCGCCTTGACGGTTTCCAAGGTGTACTCGGCTGCCTCTGACATGTTTCCTTTGTGCTTTCGGGTATATAACTTGATGGGTTCCCTTTGTTTTTGTGTGATTTCTGATACGATCCAAAATATATCCAATTCGAACGTCTCAGGGCCGTCGAAAACAAAAGTGGAATGAGCGAGAGTTATAACCAAAAAAGTGTCATGAGAAAAAGAGGAGACAAGGGTTGCTTGTGATCGTGCTCCACAAACCCTTTTAGGTCCGATGGAGAGCCGTTAGGTAAAACGTAAAACGCCGTTTTGGGCAATTGAGAACTTGTTTAAGTAAAAGCAGCCCGGGTTTGCCACACGACTTGAAAGTTGTTTCTCGACCTGAAGGCCATGCATGATCAACGACCTGATATCATGAAATATTGGCTCGCAGTTTCAACATCTGAAGTTGCCCGGTTACTACCAAGCCTCTACTACGACGAGCAACGGACCTTCAACGCTCAATTGAGTCCCGAGGCACGCGAGGCGTTCAACATCGAGGGTCCGGCCGGCCGCGGTCGGCCTGCAAGGGCTTATCGTCGGACGAAGCCGATACCGCCTAACAGGACATAGATACAGCGATAAATGGTCGATTTTAGTGGGCCGGACGGGGTCGCGGGAAGGATTTTCAGGTAATAGAAATGCTTGGTACAGCGGAAGTTCTGCCGCTACGCACCAATCAGTGCCAGTAGGTAACGGGTCCCCGTCGAAAATACGTAATAGCGGAAAGCAGCATGCTCTTGTTGTCTGGTCGAAACGAAGGTGACATGGAGCTGCCGTAAACAGTCCTCTATTGGACACAATGGTAATTCGTACTCACGTAAGATATGTGCTCCAAACTTATTGCATACAGCACGAAAGGAAACTGAGCAGGCAGAAGGCTGCAGCCTACGTAGCAAACGCTTTGCGGTACGGCGAAGACACAGCGCCATGCGGGGGAGACTGCGCCAGGGCCTGGGCCTTCTCTAGGCTAATCAACCCCTGCTCATTAGCAAGCACGTCACACTGAATCACCATGCAGCTTACTATCAAGCTGCTCCCCCTTTCATCATCATCGCAATTGTCCCTCTTCGTGGCGCAATCTATGGTATTCCGGTCCCCTCCTCCTTCACCCTCCTGCATCCTTTTTGTCCGCGATCTCGTCCTGCCGATATTCATCCTTTTCTTCCCCTGCCATCCGTCAAGCCATCAACGGCGACCTGGTCGGAAACAGCCGCCTACAATCACAGTGACAAGTTGACGAGGTTTGGGATTCCGCTCGAGCTAGCATCGAACCGGGACAGTGCTCATTTGTGGAGACTCGTTACTCCGTCGTCGGCAGAGAAGACGCTGGGACAACAACCCCGTGATCCTATCTCCAAACAGCCAATGGCGTCCAACGCAGAACAGCCGGCCCAGGAGCCACTCGAGGCCAACGGTGACCGCGTCGATGAGTCGGCACCGCTGCTGGGCGAGCCGGGCGACGTCTTGCAGAGACCGGGACAGAGCATCGTGTCCAACCTGTACACAGGTGCGGCCGCTTACACCCATAACCTAATGCCCCATCTCTGTCTGTGAGCACGACACCTAACGTTTCTCCCAGGCACTGCGTGGCTCGCCCAGGCCGGCGCCCTCTTGCTCGTCCTCCTCGTCTGGACGGGTGTGTTCCGGCATCCGCCACTGCTCCCGCTCTTCTCGCCCCACCCGCTCCTCCAGTCCGTCGGCGTCTTTGTCGTCATCCAGGCCATTCTCGTTCTGCAGCCGACGGCCACGCCCGGCGACAAGGCCCGCGGCGCGCACGCACACGCCGCGCTGCAGGTGCTGTCGTCTCTCATCTTCATCGGCGGCGTCGTCATCATCGAGACGAACAAGGTCCGCTCGCATGGTGTGCACTTTCACTCGACGCACGGCTACCTGGGCGTGCTGACGGCTGTCGTTCTGGTGGGCCAGTACGTGTTTGGGATCCTGGTGTGGCTGGCGCCCGCCTTCCTCTTTGGCAGCGGCCCCGACCGCGTCGACCGTGCCAAGGCGCTGTGGACGCACCACCGGCGGTCCGGCTACGCGGTGGTGCTGCCGCTGCTGCTGGTGACGGTTGCGACAGCGACGGCGACCGACTACAACGTCAACGTTCTGGACATTCGGCTCTGGGCGGTTCTTGTGGCAGTCGGGCTGGTTGTGGTGGGTGTCTACCCGCGCATCCACCTCCGCAAGCTGAACCTGCAGCGTTGAGTATGGCGGTCCGGACGAGTCGTTGAGTGGCCGGAGGGAGCTCCTTTGGGACGGCAAGCTCGTACGTTCAAAGACAACTTCTACGGTATTGGATATTTGGGTTACGATTTATTTCGTCGTTTTTCCTTTCTTTTTTCTTGCTCGAATCCAAGGTAGGATCGAATAGTTTTGCATATTGGACAATATGCCCAAAGCAGAATCAAGTAGCGAACTGAATTTCCGTCATTTTCAAGCTTTCCTATCTTCAGCAGAGAATTGCTCGTGACTATACATGCTTCAGTATATATGCCGCTCTTTCTGACTTCCAAGAGTCGTTACGGCGGCGGCTCTGTCACGATGCCATTGACCCCTGAGAGCTGCGAAACGCCTGCGTCTGTTCAAGTTGCAAAGTTGAAACTGACGGATGTTTTTCTCGACAAACATCTCGACCAAGGCCTTTAAAGGTCAAAGCATTGACGGGTCCAGTCTAAACTTAAAATTGATTTCCAGCCAAGTCGCCAGAGCTTTGGCATCTGTGTATGGCCTGTGTGCTGTTGGCTAAAGACGACCCCGTTGGGTGCGTTCCAAAGCGGCAAGCAAGGGACCGCGCCGCTAATTGGCCAGCCACACCCACCACTTCCGCATTGGCTCCCGTCCCTACGTCATAACCCAAACTTGCTTTTCCCGTCGCCTTGGACGAGGCCGTGTTGCCCACTTTTCCTGTTTTCTGATTCGTGTCATGCGATTGGGACAAAAATGGGGAACGACGACACATGCTGGGCTATCGTGGAGCGTGGGTTGGGGAAAATGGAGGGCACGTGTAGAATCCCACGGACGGTTTTCTAAAGAAAATGACATTGGTAGAGCAATTTCCTCGAATTTTTGTATTTTTATATTTTGTATTTTGTATTTTGTATTTTTGTCACGACCGAACCAGCCGGCCAATGTCTAGGATGATCGAAATGCGCAAAGACTTGCAGTTGGGATGTGCAGATGTCTCGCGGACGAGCAGGCCTTCCTTTGTTCAACGCCAGAGAGACGAGTAAGTAAACACAAATAGTTGCAACGACGCAGTAAGCAACATACGGGGTTGCGAAAGAAGGCAAAGACGGCAAATCGGCCAGCTACCAGACTCAGCATGACGCACTGTTGCCGGCCGACGACGAGGACACAAGGAACGAGACGTGCATCGACTGCCTCTCACAGTTGGTACACGAACGGTAACGGACAAGTCGATGTGTCGCAAGGCCGTGTTCGATTTTGTCCACTGTGGTGAGGCTTTGCACGACGTCGTAACCGGGCAAGAACTCGGCTGTAAGATACGGGAGATGGCCCACAGCGTACAGTACGACCAGTCAAAGTGCATGCAAATACGGACACTGGCTTGTTTGCACGACACTGGAGGAAGAAACAATCCACGGACCACCGCCTAGCTCGCTGGCCCGAAAAGAATACGAGTCCGTGAGACCCCATGATACAGTCCTAATCTTACAGTCCAGTTAGGCCCGCCGGACGTTTCTTTTTGGCTCTGCTGTCGGGTTCGAATCCCCGTATACCCCCATTTTCAGTCGCGCTCGCGATTTGAGAAGCACCCGGTGGTTTTGCGCAGACGGTGTTGTCAATCGCAAACAGGCGAAGCGCTCAATCCCAGAGGGAAGAAAGGCGCACAAGATCCATATAAGATGACTGCGCGCCAGAAGCATCCAGGCCCCTTTCGGTGGCCCACTCAGAAATGGGCTCCGCTATTTTACCCGCGTCGCGCAACCGCCTGGAAAAAAATTACAGAAGTACAGCTGCTAAACCTCTTAGCTTGCGGTGACGTCATAGGGCATCGATCGCCAAGTTTTTTTGCAGTTTTGTCCCCCCGTGGACCGTTTCTCAATTTGCGGTGCGTTGTCGCGCGTGCCCCTGGCCTGGCCTGCTCTGCCCTGAGAACCTGTCCAGGAATGCGAAATCCTGGCCAAAGACGGGCCCGAGGCCCCAATCTGTGTTTTGCGCTCCGCTTCGTGTCTACTGTACATCGTACGACTGTAAGATACGCCTGCTCACTGTGTTCACTCGCGCCTTCCCTCTCAGGCTCGTCGTCTGTTCCGCATCTCCCTTTCCTCCTCTCCGCCGCAACTTCCACTTTTGACGCCTGTGTCTCCCTCTTGTCTACTTCGTCTTTCTGTAAACATGCCCTGAAATAGTGTTGGTGGTTCTTTCTGTGCCGGTGGGTTTTTGGCCAAGCCTGCAGTAGCCCGACACGCCAAACAACACCTGGGACATGGTCTGGCCGCCGTCCTGTTAGCCTGCTTCAGCCCCATCGAAGGCTCTCCAAGGCTCCTTCCTCCTCTTTGCCCCTAGTGTATCTTAACTGGTCGTCACTGCCGCTGGTCACAAAACCTGCCTTGGTTTTGCCTCGTTGCGTACTTTCCGAATGCGCTCACACTACCGTCATTCTTCCACCATTCCATTGCCTCTCGTCTACACCGTCTTTCGTTGCCCTCCACTTCTTCCGGTTTCTCCTGTTCCTGTTTCTTCCTCTATTCGCACAATCTCGACGTCTCAACGCCTGCCAGCCTTCTGCCCTCTTGCTTACCGAACATTTCCTGTTTGCGGTTCATCTCGCCGCTTGAATACCCCCGTCCGCAATTATACCCCGAGCGTGACTTCGAGCTCTGCTAGAGCGAGTCCTGTTTTTGCTTCCTTTTCTCCTTTCCTCCAACACTATCCCAGTTGCGGGTTTCCCACACCTCCCAACCTTGCCCACTCCATCGTCTCGGTCCGGTTTGCAGCGCTGTTCAGCAACATGCCAATATAGGCTGAGACCAAGGAGAAGGACAGGCACGCAGCGCGAAAACAGAACTCAGCATCAAACTGCTACCCTCCACCCCCGACGACCACTCAAGCTCACGCCCTTTCTTGGACGCGACGACCATACCGACCACTTCTGGAGGCTTCACCGACTCGGGGCGATCTCGTGGACCAGGTTTTCCGACTAGAGTAGACAGCGATACGCGATAGTCGATTCCCGTTATCAAAGCGACATACGAGCGATCATCTATCCACTGGACCAAGACTTGTACACAACAGTGTATCAACATCGACAGTGATAAGCAGCACAAGGGCTGGTTGATGCCACAGATGTTTCATACGCCCGGCACGGCCTTGAGATGAACTGCCAGCAATGGCAAGCTGGGCGAAGAGCGGACGAGGAGGCGCGCTTTCGCCTCAACAAAGTCCACCATCTCCAAGTGCCGGAGTGCCATCGCCCTCAGAGACCATGAACAGAAGCAGCAGCATCAGCATCGGTAACAACAGTGGCAAACACGTCGACGATCAGCAACAGCCGACGTCCGTCACCAACAAAGAAGGCAAGACGACTAGACCAGGATCCAGCGGTGCTCGATCCGGTGGCAGCACCTCACCCAATATCGAAAAGCGCACAAGCGACCGCCGAACAGCCCAGCCTGGTCCGTTTGGACGCACTTCAAATGGAGACGAGGACCGTCACTATGCCAGCCACTTCCAAGAGCAACAGACGATAGAGCACCAAGAGTCACGGCACCTTGATGCCACGAGCCCACAACACCAGCTGAGCGACTACCGCCAGAGGCTGGCTCGCGAGATGTCGGCACGAGTGAACAACCAAACCTCGCCTGTGACGAGCCCGTTTGCAAAGCGCCCTTCACCCATCGAAGAGGAGAAGGTCTCCGCATCAGGCTCGCCATCGGCGCCATCGGCACCATCTGCGTCACCAACAAAACCCACCGCTCTGCCTTCGGCCCTTGCTTCTACGCCAGCATCCGCATTGCTCTCCTCCTCGTCTTCCGGTACGACAACCTCTACCGATTCAGCCCGAACCGTGCGCGCGGCTGATCCTGGCAAGGGGGTCACGGCCCGGACGCCTTCATACCCGTTTCCTCGCATGGCGATGCCCAGCGCTAGTAGAGACCCTTCGTTTGTTTCAACAGCCGCTTGGTCTGCGCATGCCCGGTCATCACAGGCTCGGCTGCAGTCGGATCGCGACAGAGGTTCCTCTGGTGCAGGTTTCGAATCTGAGCAAAAGTCGACACAGTCACGATCGGAACCACAGCGCCAGGAGTCGGCCTACAGCTTTCGGTCTGACCAGGTGCTGTCGAGCCCCTCGACACCTGCCTCTGCTGTCACGTTTCTGCCCAGCAGTGCTCTCGGCCGTGACCCTCATGGCGAGGCCGGCAAATATGCGACCCTCAACGGGAGCCACTACCTCGATCTTCACGATTTTGAAACCCCCAATTTATATGAACTTGCACTCGCCTTATCCACAGAGCCCGGGTTGGATGCGTGGTGGGACGCCATCGTGCAGATTGCCACCCAGTGGTACAAAGCCGAGCGCGTCGCTCTCGTAATCCCGTCTGATTCGACCGACGTCGAGAACATGCCGTGGGGTCAAAAAGCGACTTTTAAGATTCGCGAGAAAGACGATGAACTCAGTTTGGGCTACATGGGGCACGACAGTCTCGTTGCGGCGACAACGGACCTAGGTTCCGATGCCACACCACTCCTCTCCACCTCGGGCATCCTATCTCCTCCCCCACCGGCCCCTTCTCCGGCGCCAGCCGAACAACTGCGCCGCCCCAACCTCACTGCCCGTTATTCATATACGACGTACGAGGAACGAAAGGAGAACAACCAGCTTGACGATCCGAAGCCTGGAGCCGGCGCTGGCCAAACATCCGCAGCACCGATTCGTCCTTCGCTTTCAAGATGCCAGACGTCTCAGCCGGTCGCCACGCAGCGTACCGATATCCCCAAGGCTGACTGGCCGGCCGAAATGCTGCCGCCCAAGCCCTACACCGCTTTGAAACATTCCGTCCTTGAAGAGCACGATGCTACGGAAGATCCTCATGATACGACAACGTACGTCACCGGATCGTCGCTCCAGCAACAGTCCGAGACCAGGGGTAGAGTATTGCCAGTCCTCCAGGCCCTCGACTACGAAGCGGACCCGTTGATCGACCACAATGGCGTGCAACGTGTACTGGACCGCGGCCATGTCGTCGCACTGACCCGTTCGTATCCGTATATTACGCCCAAGCAGCCAGAGACACCAGCGCCCGCCCCCATCACCACGCAAAATCAACAACCGCCAACTCCAGATGGCGGGGATGAAGAAACGATGGCGAACACAAACTTGTCGAAACTGGCCAACGAACTTGCCAGTGGTTCCAACCAGCGTCTTCAGCAAGGGTCCCCTCTGAAACTCTCGGCACTCCTCGGGACAAGTGGGCTGCCACCTACAAAAAACTCGAATGCCAGGCCGAGCGCGAGTTACATGAGACGACTCACAGGCGCTAGCATTGCGTCAAAGCTAGAAGAGGCGAAACCTCAGCGGTCCAAGTCGCCGCTGTACGAAGAGTACGAGCAAATGCCGCCTTCACCATGGTCGCAGTCACCGGCACCGTCTCCGGCGGTACGCCACGACCCCAATGAGAACCCGTTCTTTAGCGATACCGTCGTCGACGAGGACAGCTTCAACCCTGCCTTGTCACCGGAAGACTACAAGGAAGCACGGCCTCTGGAGGCCATTGGTTTCGACAATGCCTGCACTGTCCTTCACATTCCTCTGTACCACCCCTTGCTCTCCAAGACAGCTCAGCCTTTCCGTCTAGATAAATCGAAAATGGAACGCCGGTCATCACCGAGACGCGACAACGACAGGAGCTCGGACCATTCCGTGGAGACGTCTCCAAGCCGACGAAAGGAAATGCCCATTGCTATATTGTCCATTTTGACGCCCATCATTCCCTATCCATCCAAACTGCGCTACTCTTTGGAGCATCTGGCGCCTCATATGGCTACATCGTTCTCTCTCTGCGTCCATTACTCGAACCTCGAGGCGGAGATCAACGGCTTAAACCGTCGCCGGCATGAGATGAGCGGCTTTGGTGCCGTCGACACCGAGGGTCATCCCTTACCTACGGCATCTGCGTTTATGAACACGCCGTACTTGCCATCGGAGGATCACATTTCGCATCGCTCACAAACCGGAAGCATGACGAGTTTCAGCGACTACTCGGCAAGATCACGGAGCATCGCCGGCTCTCCTGGCGGCACACCTGGCTGGGACTCGGCGGCCTTGAACGTGTTCTTGGAGCGTCGTGCGAACACCGGCACTGGTATCAGCCCCAGCATCGCTTCGCTCACCGGTGACGGCTACTTTGGTATGCGAACAAGCAACATGGGCGCCTTTGGCCGGCCAGCTACGACACCCGGAGGTACTAGCAGCAATGGCGGCGGCGGCGGCGGCGGCCCTTCAGCCAGGGAAAGAGGTAGAAAGAACTCCGTCTCACATAGCGAGAAGCGCTTGTCTGCTCTTCGCCTGCCTGAAGTCACTCTCTCGGCTCAGGAAGAGCGTGTGGGCAGTCCTCTGCCCGACCTATCGACAACAGCCAACCTGCCAGCCGCCCTCTCGTCCCCTTCGATCAACCGCAACGAGGACTCGCCTGCTTCTTCCCAGCAAATCTCTAGAGGCTCCGGTACAATGTCGGCTGAGACTGGTGTGGGAAGTTCGACGGAGGCACTTTCCAGCTCTGCAAATAGTCGAACAGCGCATCCGGCTCCTGCCTTAATTGGCGACCCTGTGCCCCCTCTACCACCAAGCGACTCGAAGAAGCGTCCCGTTGAGAGAGACGCGGTCGTCTCGGAGGAGCTGAAGTTGGCGTTTTCGGATCGAGCACCGCCGGTGAGCCCGGCGGTCCATACGCCTGGTGGCACACCCCACCAGCGGCATCCTCGCTTCCAGCACCAGCACAGCCATAGCCATGGCGGACACAGCCAACTACACTCCTATGGTGCCGATTTTGCGTCTACATTTCCATCGCTCCCCCCAGTGGGACCGTTGCGGTGAAGGGCGCAAGTGCCAGTATGCATCCTCAAACCTCGACTCCATCTCATGCCGCCTCGGCTGCGTCTTCGAGCCCTGTGGACATGCCGCCGCCCTCGGATCGACTCAAGGGCCTGATCCTAGACTCTCTACCGGCCCATGTATTCGTCGCCATGCCTCAAACGGGAGCCATCGTTTGGGTCAACAGTCGCTATCTCGCATACCGTGGCCAGACGGTAGAGGGATTGGCGGAAGACCCATGGGGCAGTCTTCACCCCGACGACTGCGACGAGTATCTCAAGGCTTGGAGCCACTCCGTCCGTACCGGTGACCAGTTCTCCCGCACGGTGCGGATCCGCCGCTTTGACGGATCCTACCGCTGGTTCCAGGCGCGGGCGGTTGCTTCACGCGACCGGCGCAACAGCATCATGCAATTCCTGGGCTCGTACATGGACATCCACGACCAGCACATTGCAGAACTTAAAGCAGCCCGCCAAGAAGAGATTGAAGCATCCGAGACAAAACATCGTATTCTGGCCAATCTCATCCCACAAATCATCTTCACCGCCAACGAGGAAGAGGGCGTCACCTTTGCCAACGAGCAGTGGCTCTCGTACACCGGCCAGAGCTTCCAGGACCTGCTGGGCCTTGGCTTCTTGGACAACGTGCATCCCGACGACCTGGCCAAGTGCAGCTTCCTACCGGTGCCCGCGCATTTGCAGGAGCGCCGGAAGCGGCTGTTGCAATCTGTGTCGTCGCCCCTCTCCGCTCGAGGCGCCAACAATGTGGGCGACCGGGACCGGAAGACAGAATCGGGCAACGATGAAGAGCTGAGTGAACTCGCCGAGCTCGCTCGCCGTGGCATCATCCTAGTAACAACGGACGACAACGGGCGCCCGTCATACACAACTGAAGTACGCCTTCGGTCCAAGACGGGTGAATACCGCTGGCACTTGGTGCGCTGCGTGGAGACGGGCACGGTGGACTTTGGCAAGGGCTACAACTCGTATTTCGGCTCGGCCACCGACATCAACGACCACAAGCTTCTGGAGACCAAGCTGAAAGAGGCCATGGACTCCAAGACACGGTTCCTGAGCAATATGTCGCACGAGATTCGCACACCCCTGATTGGCATTTCCGGCATGGTCAGCTTTTTGCAAGACACGGTCCTGGACGAAGAGCAGCGCGACTACACCAACACCATCCAGACCAGTGCCAACAGCCTGCTCATGATTATCAACGACATTTTGGACCTCTCCAAGGTCGATGCCGGCATGATGAAGCTGAGCTTCGAGTGGTTCCATACGCAGTCTCTCATTGAAGATGTGAACGAACTCGTGTCGACCATGGCCATTGCTAAGCGCCTTGAGCTGAATTATATTGTCGACGACGACGTGCCCTCCTGGGTCAAGGGCGACCGTGTGCGCATCCGGCAAGTCCTTCTCAATGTCATTGGCAACGCCATCAAGTTTACGACCAAGGGCGAGGTGTTCAGCCGGTGCCGGATTGTCAAGAACAAGAGCAATGCAGGGGCAAACCAGATCGAGCTCGAGTTTTCCGTCACCGACACAGGGCGCGGCTTCACAAAGGAAGAGGCCGACCTCATCTTCAAACCCTTCAGCCAGATCGACGGCAGCAGCACACGGCAGCACGGTGGCAGTGGCTTAGGCCTCGTCATCTCGCGGCAGCTTGTGGAGCTCCATGGTGGCACAATGAACGGCTCGGCCGTCCCTGGCAAGGGCTCAACATTCACCTTTACCGCCATCTTCAATCTACCGACGGAGCAGGACCACCCGGACGGCCACTTGACGCCGTCCGCCGAGGCGAATCCGAAAGCACCCAACCTGACCTTGACGGCGATGGGGCTTGCCACGCCATCGTTCATGGATCCGGCCGCCATAATTGCCGCCGCCGCAGCGTCGGCAGCAGGGGCTGGCTCCACCGGGGTGTCAAGCGCTCCGGTGGATGTGGAGCCGAACGCGACGGCGACGGCGACGGCATCACCAGCAGGCGGCTCGAGCGGAAGCTCAGATCCTTCCATTGCGTCGAACAAGTCGCACCCGCTATCAGAGCGTTCGTCCTCCATATCCTCCGTGAATACGAATACGGGCGGGCTCACACACTTCAGTGAAGCCGCTCGTGCCAGCGGACAAGACGTATCCCACATGAAGTTCAGGGTACCACCAAGCGGCAGCGACGTCCCGTCGCCTCGATTGCCTGCACTGCCGGTGCCAAGGAGCAGCGATACGACCACCACGGCGACAGAAGCGACAGGCGCTTTCGCATCACGCACCGGGGCAGCAGAGACGAAGCCGGCGGTGCCCAAGCGCACCCTGAGTCAGCCCTCTTCGTTTTCCATCTTGATCATTTGCCCCCAGACGCACAGCCGCGAAGCGACCGCACAGCATATCGAGACCACGCTGCCCAAGGACCGCCCGCATAGCATCACAGCTGTAGCGACAATGTCCGAGGCACAAGACTTGATCAAGACCGAGGCCAAGCCGTTTACGCATGTGGTGGTCAATCTCCCGTCGGCACAGGAGGTCCTGGAGCTTGTGGACCAGCTCGACCGCTCGACCATGCTGGAGACAGCGCACGTTCTCGTCCTGTCCGACTCGGTGCAGCGCCAGGAAGTCAACAAGCTCGCCGCCGGTACACGGTACGAGCAGCGGCTCTCGGAGGCGCGCGTGATGTACATCTACAAGCCGGTCAAGCCGTCGCGGTTTGCCGTGATCTTCGACCCCAAGCACGAGAGCGACATCAGCATCGACCGCAACCGGTCCAACGCGCAGCGGCTGGTGGAGACGCAGAAGAAGAGCTACCTGGACTTGTCGCAGCGTATGGGCAACAAGGGGTACAAGGTGCTGCTGGTGGAGGACAACATGGTGAACCAGAAGGTGCTCACAAAGTACCTGCGCAAGGTCGGCGTGGACGTGGACATGGCGGCGGACGGTGTGGAATGCACGGATACTGTGTTTGCGCGGCCTCACGACTACTATTCGCTGATTCTGGTGAGTTTGTTCCGAATGCCCTCTATTTGTATATTGTTGCTAACCGGCCAGTGTGATTTGCATATGCCGCGCAAGGATGGATATCAAGCGTGTCGCGAGATTCGCGGGTGGGAGGCCAAGGGCAACTACAAGAAGAAGATCCCCATCATTGCACTGTCGGCCAACGTCATGTCGGACGTTTACGACAAGTGCATCGAGGCCGGGTTCAGCAAGTACATTACGAAGCCGGTCGACTTTGTTGTACTGAGCCGGGCGCTGGCCGAGTTCTTTTGAAAAGAACTGGGGGATGATGCTGATTTTTGTTACGTAGACTCCGGGGGTAATGATTTCATAATGACCTAACAGCAGACGCGCTGTGATGGGATGGGATTTTTAGCGTTTTCTGTTCGAGTCATGAAAAAACACTGGGAAACAGGCGAGATCGTGGGCACATATGGAGGACGTACAAAGTACACAACGGCACACCATACCAGATCCTTCAACTTTTTTTTGGACACAGGCCGCCACTGGCTTGACACTTTGTTCCTGTCTCTATGCCGCTCGTATTTACGGAGTGCTCGCTTCTTTACAAAGTGTGGCGCTTTAAGCCGGAAATGCAGATTCCTCGACTTAGCTGGTGCATTTCAAACCCGAACATTTCGCAAATGACAAAGAGGATGAGAAAACGAGGAGTACGAAGAGTATAACACCACAAATGAAAGAGATACGAGCTGTTTTACTTTTTGAATGTTTTCTTTAAAAAATATGAATATAAATAAAAAATAACAAAATCTTGAGCAATATGAACTAATCCGAGCATACGTTATCGTTCGCACCTGCCACTTTTTCGCCCCTGTCAACGACGCCGAGGTCCGGATTTGCCAGCCGTCCAATCATCGCGCCGCTAAATGGCCTATGATGTCGTTTGCTGGGCTTTTGTGGGCAGGCGGCGGATGACCCTTGCGGGATTGGAGGAAAGAACTGAGGGGCCGCTGGCGCCACTAGCGCTAGAGCTACACTGGGTGATGGCAATGCTCGGGCTTATTTTGGGGGAGATGCCCGCTAGTATTTATAATTTCTAATCCTCTCCCGCGTGCTTATTTTGTTTCTTTCGGTTTTGCAACTACCTTCTACGCAACGACGACGTCGCACCGCCGCAAAACATACCATCTGCATCCCAAGACAGCGACACGATAGTACGTCCAAACACAGCCATGACCAAGTCGAGCCTCTCGCGCGTCACGGCCACAGCCGCCGCGACGGCCATGCGCCCTGCGTTCTGCCGCCGTGCTCCGCGAGTCGCCTTTGCCTCGCTCCCCGTGACCTCGACTCCCTCCTCTACGTCCCCATCGTCTGCCCCCTCTGCGCGCCGCGCCTACCACATCTCGTCGTCAAGGCGTCCCCGGATACAGGGCCCCGCATCCGCATCCGCATCCGCATCCGCACAGCCCAGCTGGTCCCTCGCCGGCCCGGGTCGCCGCTCCATCTTCATCCAGACCGAGAGCACGCCCAATGCCGATGCGCTCAAGTTCTTGCCCAACCACCGAGTCCTGCCCGAGGGCATCGCGGCTCCCTTTGTCGAGTACCTCAGCCCCCGCGCCACCATTGCGCCGCCCTACCCGTCGCCGCTCGCCGCGCAGCTGATGAACGTCGACGGCGTCACGGCCGTGTTTTACGGCAGCGACTTTATCACGGTGACCAAGGCGCAGGACGCCAACTGGGCGCACATCCGGCCCGAGGTGTTTGCCCTCATCACAGAAGCCATCACGTCGGGGCAGCAGATTGTGCGGCCGGCGGCCGAGGCGGCGGCGGGCGCCGCCGCGGCGTCCGGCAGCAGCAGCAGCAGCGACGCCGGCGGTGCCCCCGGGGCCCCCGTCGAGGCGGACTCGCTGCAGTACGACGAGAACGACAGCGAGGTGGTGGGCATGATCAAGGAGCTTCTGGAGACGCGGATCCGACCGGCGATCCAGGAGGACGGCGGCGACATTGAGTTTCGCGGCTTCGAGAACGGCACGGTGAAGCTGAAGCTCCGCGGCGCGTGCCGGACGTGCGACTCGAGCACGGTGACGCTGAAGAACGGCATCGAGAGCATGCTGATGCATTACATTGAGGAGGTGGAGGCGGTGGAGCAGGTGCTGGACCAGGAGGAAGAGATTGCGCTCTCCGAGTTTGCCAAGTTTGAGGAGAAGCTCAAGGGGCAGAGGGGGCCGGCTGTGGCGGCGACCTAGCCGACCGACGACAAGGGGTCGACGAACGTCGCTGCAGCATAAGGCGATGGAAAGGGGTTCCTGTTCTTGTTTGCTCATATCGCTTTCTGTCTGTCTTACATTACGCTTCTCATGTACATTCCTCGAGAGGGTAACCCATGATGGAACGCTTTGGTCGAGAACCGGGGCCTCCATTTCATGCTTTATATGCTTTATATACAAAACTGAATGATATCATACAGCAAAGAAATACCCTACGCAAGATACGACCATCTTTCCATACAACCCTATTTTCTTGTGAATCCTCTTTGATGTTTGGTGTGCGTTAAACGGACAGCTTTACGGGCAACCGGTAGTAGGCCAAGATTGCATTTATTACTCGACAACAATGTATTTTTATCAGAGTCCTGCCCCCGTTATTGTCGTGATTTCCCGGTGAGGGGGAAATCCACAACGGCGTATTGAACTATCCGCATATTGCCGTTCCTTTCTTGGAGATCTCATGACCAGGACAACGAGCAGAGAACCGCAGAATATGCCCTCGCTTGCGTCTCACATAGAGCTGCCGTCCTTGCTAGGACATCCCAGGGCACGGAAAAGGATCGCACAACTGAATATGAGCTGCGTTGTAGAAAGGCCAAGACAAGCACTATGAAAAGCTAATATAACCAGGGCGGGCACCAGCACAGGCATCAAGGTTTGGATAAAGTCGGAGAGCAGACACAGGAGGCCCGTTGGTCACGGCACGCGCGTTTGGGGAGAGGCGGTCTGCGCAGTGTGTGGCAACCCGGATCAAAGAAATAAACCGCTTGAACCGGGTGTCCTAGATCTCCAGACGTTCAATGTTTATTAGACAAATTGCAGGCCGGTCAGCATGTGCTGCGACCATTCTCCCGGACAAGAGGCGAGAGGGGAACTCATGGCAGCAGCATGGGATCAATCAAGTGCCTCTGTACGTCGCCAGAGGTCAGCGTGAGGTATTGCGCGAATGACACAAGTGTTGTGAACAAACGCGAAAGAGGGTGCGAAGGGAAGGACCTTGTCCCTGTCTCCTCCTCCAGTCTCCTCATCTCCACCTTCCCGCCGGGTTGGCCCGTCTTTCCTTCACTTAGGGTCGTGTCCTCTTTCCCATCTAGAAAACCCGGGTATCGTGACACCGCATTGACCGGGAGTGTATATGTCAGGTACTCAGCGCCAGTTTTTGAGGAAGCATATTTACGTTTACGACTTTGTTTCCATCCTGCTTTTCCTACTATTCTCGTCAACTCTTTTTAACCCGGCATGGCCAGCCAGAAGACCGGATCGAGGAGAAGGAGCTGTCGAGAACCCAGCCACACGCCGTGCAAGGAAGGAACGAACGATGCGGGAGCACAACAGGAAGGACCACGGCATGCTCGCAAGTCATATGACCTTTGGACGGCCATCTCATCAACACAGGACACCTCTACAGACCAGCCATGCTAGATGAACCATGCACGCAGCATTGGACGTCATGTCGTTCAGCCCTCCTTTTAGGAGTGATCACGGCTCCCTTCCATCTCCGTTCTTACCCCCTCTTTTCCCGTCGTTATGAACGCTTGGGCCCGCGCACCGTCCAGCTACCAGTTGCCGTAGAAAGAAGCAACCCCCTCTTTCGTTCCCGCCGCGTCCCTTCTTCGCTTCGACCATGACATTTTTGTCGTCCTCCGTCTACGTCTCGTCCACGGCCGCTCACCTGTATGCATCGCTGGCGTGTCAAGGGACTGTACTTTGGACGTTTTGTCGCACTCGTTCTGTTTCAACTTGAACTTGAACATGGAGCTTGGTCTGGCCATAGCTCATCCAGGGGTCCTGCATCGTGCGAGGACACAACATCATACATAAAATCCGGGGAAGACTTATAGTACATCCCACGGACCTGTGCCGGGGTGCTGCCCCTCCTTTGTTTCTGTGTTGAGGAACATCGCCTGCCGCTGTTTGACTCGTCAATCATGTTTTTTTTTTTTTTATTATTATAAATCTGGCAAAGGAAACCCGCGGCCTGTTATCCGTGGGTGCCCACACGGCATCTCGAAGAAAACAGGTTCATGATAAGTGAAATGTGAGAAGTGAGAAGTGAGGAAGCATCAAGCCTCTTCGTCGGATACAAGGTTGAGTAAAAGGCCATTTCATGGGGCAGAACCGAGCACTCCGCATCCACGGCTCAGCTTACTACCTCTCTTATTGTTAGAGGGGCTTCCCCTGCCTTTCACTTGCAACAAAAAACTGTACGTCTGTGCACTCTGGCAACAAAGGACCTGGACTGCCCAGACGGCGGCCCCGTTTTCCGCCATCGTCCCTGGAACTGGCATTGCGTAAGATCGCCATTGCATTTGCCGGGCCATTCGTTGCTTGTCCTACCCGTTACCTTCTTGTCTTCCTATGGCCTGTCTGACGTGGGTTTATTGACAGCTGTTCATGATGGTTGTCGCCGTGGCACACCGTTGAAAACAAAAAGATAGAATCATTTGCAAATTATAATTATACAGGAAATCAAGTCAAAAGGGTTTGACGGTTATTGCCCTTTTGCTGTTCGTGTAATCTCATTGGTGCGCCAGGCGGAGGTAGGATGAGGTTACAAGAAAAAGGGCTGACTGCTAAGGCTGAGACTCTGCAAATCACAGAGCCGAATCAACCAAGAGGCGGGACAAGTGTGCGTTGTACATTCGTATTAAGTTTTTCTTATGGCCCTAACTCGGGGTGGTCTATTTCTTGCTGGAAAGAGTTGCTGCTGGATGCTCACTTCTTGCTCACTGCCCCTTCCACAGGCCGGGCCAGGCTTGGCCATCGACTGTCGATCACATCGAAAGCGGGAGGCTCTGGATCCGAAAAGAAAAAAAAGTAAGGAATAGCAATGGGAAAAGATAGGAAAGCTACATGGTCGGTTGGCTATACTCGGTCAGAACAAAAGACAACCGAGCATTTGATTAGCTGAAATCATCCAGAAAAGGCAAAAAAAGAGAGGACGCGCCTTTTCGCAGTTGTATCACACGGCAATTACAGGTGGAGTGGGTGCTTTTTTAATCAAAAGGCATCTGCATGGAAAAGGAGATGCAGCAAAAATACATA